GTGTGTGAGTGTGTGTGAGTGTGTGTGAGTGTGTGTGAGTGTGTGTGTGTGTGTGAGAGAGAGAGAGAGGGAGAGAATATGGACGACAGGATTAGCAAGCTGAACCAGTTAGTGTGAACCATGTGCTATAGATCATTCACTTAACTTAGTACAGCACTGATGTTACCATCTAGTGTATCATGGTGAACTCTAAAAGCTCATTGCTTTGTTTGTGAATTGCATGCACAATATTTGAGGGCATTTCAACCATACGTTTTCAGTATGCAACTAATCCAAACATCTCAACATTCACTGCTGTTACTGTTGGATGGTTCTGCCCGCTATCTTTACCAGATTTGATGAGATCTCTTAGTTAAGTCAACCTGTCTGATAAGCTCACTCATTACAATCTGAATTAGAAATAAATGTACATGAAACTTAAATACGCCTTCATTTTAGTTAGGTTGATCAGAATCTTTGGCCTGGAAAGCAAAATTAACTGTGAATTATTTGCTGCACAAATTAGTGCAAAACCAGTATCTCTCTGATCTGTGATAGCAAGAACTGCAGATGCTGGAGTCAGAGATAACACGGTGTGGAGCTGGAGGAACACAGCAGGCCAGGCAGCATCAGAGGAGTAGGAAAGTTGACGTTTCGGGTCGGGACCCTTCTTCAGAAATGCCCCGACCCGAAACATCAACTTTCCTGTTCCTCTGATGCTGCCTGGTCTGCTGTGTTCCTCCAGCTCCACACTGTATTATCTCTCTCTGATCTGTGATTCTTTATTTCTCTGGTCAAAACAAAGGCACTTTTCCAGTCAGAATTCCCCAGTGCTTTATACCAGGACCAGTTTGAGTCAAGTTAATATTTGGGCTGAAGGTATTGGTGGAAACCTGCAATGCTGATTTTTAAAAATTTTCGCAGATATCATTTGCTACCTACCCACTTTACATCAGGTGTAGAATATGTGCAAGATGGTTTTGTTCAAAATTTGTAGGTATGCAAGTTGAATATGATCACGAGTGGGAGTAATAGCTACTGGCAGCATGCATATCTTTACACATTGCAGGCAAATATCCCAAATCCCAGTTGTAAACATGAATGGAGAACTGACTGGCAGGATTATGGTGAAAAAGTGAGGGAATGTACTGAATTGGACAACTCTTTCAAAGAACTGGAGCAGGCAAGATGGGCGAAATACCCCCTGTGTTATTGTGTATAATGATGCAGTGGTTAAGAATGTAAATTAAGTATTGTTTTTGAGCTGCTGTTCTCCACCTTGTTAGCGTACTCATTTAGTCATGGAGTCATACGGCATGGAAACAGATCTTTTGGTCCAACCAGTCCATGCCAACCGTAAACCCAAACTAAGCTAGTCTCACCCACCTGCATATGGCCCGTATCCCTCCAAACATTTCTTATTCATGTGCTTATCCAAATGTCTTTTAAATGTTGTAACTGTACCCACATCCACCGCTTTCTTTAGAAATTCATTCTATACATGAACCACTGTTTGTAGGGGGAAAAGAAATTGCACCTCATGTCTTTTTTTTTAAATCTTCCCCCTCTCACCTTAAAAATCTTCCCCTTAGTCTTGAAATCCCCACCCAATGAAAAAGACACCTGCCGTTCACCTTATGTGTAGCCTTCAGAAGAAGATTAGAGAAGCCATCATGTCAGGCCAGGGTAGAAGCTGACATTCTCTCCTCATGTTTTCAGGCCCAGGATGGACAAGAATGTGCCCTGTTGCACATTGTCCCTCATCATCAGAGGTACTCATAACTTGAATGCATTCTAATGTAATTTTTGGATTTTTAGGTTTTATGTAATAATTAATATACAGTTTTCACTTTTTATTGGGAATTCATAAGGAAATCCCTCTTTGTGCTTCTTGGAGGAGCTGGAGATAAAGCCACAAGTTAAGTTACACCATTAACAACGTTTCCTCTTACATTATAACAGTGATTATGCTTCAGTACTTATTATGGTAAAGTACTTGGAGATATCAAGTGGCCATGAAAAGTACTGCAGAAACGCAAGTTATTTACCATAGCTATCACCCTTCACACCTCATGTAGGCAGAGCAAATTGAACCTCAGTCTGGATTGAAGAACAGTAGGTAGTATGTCTGACTGTTATGATTAAGTATCACAAGGTTACAATAACACTTATATTAAAGGAACTAGACAAATATAAGTCATCCCAATGCACTACTGAGCGGGAGGCAAATTTTTGTTTTGGAGCTCTTTGAGGATTTTTTCATTCCAGTGGCTCCTTTTTCAATGTCTTAATTACTTCCTAAGGTGATGCAGTCATTTAATAATATTACCGTTTAGTATTTGTGTTGGATTATTTTAGAATTTTATTTAGAAATACCTACAATATATATATATTTTTGGTATTTTGATATAATATCTAAATAAAATTCTAAAATAATCCAGCACAAAATAATAAATGATAATGAGCAAGAGTAAAAGAGAGGGGAAATGATTGGAGGAGCTGGAGCAGCCAGCATGGGAGAGATGCAATCTGTGATTGGATGCGAAACATGGGCATGGATTTGGAAGGAAGTGACATGATCAAGTACTCAGGAGAGAAAATGGAATTTAGAAATCGAGCAGCAGTTTGCAAGGACTGAGAGGTCAAGGATTATCTTATCGAGCAGTCTCTAACGTGTTGCATCACAATTTTGCCAGTAGGTCTGAAGATAATGTTTGCCATCAATTTATATGCTTCAGAATTCTTCCTGGCACACATATCTATCTGCAATCCATCTGTGCATATACTATGCCTTCAGTGTGTACAGACATATTCCTCGGTAGCTAACTACAGCATTCTCAATATTGACCATTACTGGGTTTTGAATATCATTTATCCTTTTCTAGCTATCTTTCTTATTTCATTCGTACTTCTGGCACTAAAGTATTATCAGTATCAGCTGAATAAAAACAAAATACCATGAATCCTAAAATAAAGCAAAGAAAATTGTTGGAAAGAGAAATGGGATTAGCAATTCCAAGTCCACAGTTCTGGAGAAGAGCCTTTGAACTCAAAACATTAACTCTGCTTCTGTCTCTCCACAGATGCTGCCAGACCTCCTGAGTTTTTCCAGCAATTCTGTTTTTATATCAGTCTCTGCTTTCCTCTGTCCTAGAAGTTACATAAGAACGTAAGAACTAGGAGCAGAAGTAGGCCATCTGGCCCCTCGAGCCTGCCCCGCCATTTAATAAGATCATGGCTGATCTTTGAGACTCAGCTCCACTTACCCGCCCACTCACCATAACCCTTAATTCCTTTACTGTTCAAAAATTTATCTAGCCTTGCCTCAAACACATTCAGTGAGGTAGCTTCAACGACTTCGCTGGGCAGGAATTCCACAGATTCACAACCCTTTGGGTGAAGAAGTTCCTCCTGACCTCAGTCCTACATTTGCTTCCTTTTATTTTGAGGATATGCCCTCTAGTCCTAGTTTCACCTGCTAGCGGAAACAACCTCCCTGCCTCCACTTTATTTATTCCCTTCATAATCTTAATGTTTCTATAAGATCTCTCCTCATTCTTCTGAATTCCAATGAGTATAATCCCAGTCTACTCAGTCTCTCCTCATAATCCAACTCTCTCAACTCTGGAATCAACCAAGTGAATCTCCTCTGCACCCCCTCCAGTGCTAGTATATCTCTTCTCAAGTTAGGAGACCAAAACTGCACACAGTACTCCAGGTGTGGCCTCACCAGGACCCTATACAGCTGCAGCATAGCCTCCCTGTTTTTAAACTCCATCCCTCGAGCAATGGCAGACAAAATTCCATTTGCCTTTTTAATTACCTGCTGCACTGCAATCCCACCTTCAGCGATTCATGCACAAGGACAGCCAAGTCCCTCTGCACAGCAGCGTGCTGCAATTTTTTACCATTTAAAACGTAGTCCATTTTGCTGTTATTCTTACCACACTGGATGACCTCACACTTATCAACATTGTATTCCATCTGCCAGACCTTTGCCCTCTCTCTTAGACTATCTATATCCCTCTGCAGACTTTCAGTGTCTTCTGCACACTTTGCTCTACCACTCACCTTAGTGTCATCTGCAAATTTTGACACACCACACTTAGTCCCCAACTCCAAATCATCTATGTAAATTGTAAACAATTGCGGTCCCAACACTGATCCCTGAGGCACACCACTAGCCACTGACCGCCAACCAGAAAAACACCCATTTACCCCTACTCTTTGTTTTTTACTGGTCAACCAATCCTCTATCCATGCCAATACATTACCTGTAATACCGTGCAACTTTATCTTGTGTAGCAGCTTTTGGTGTGGCACCTTGTCAAATGCCTTCTGGAAATCCAGATACACTATATCCACAGGTTCCCCATTGTCCACCATGCAAGTAATGTCCTCAAGGAATTCCACCAAATTAGTTAAACATGACCTACCCTTCATGAACCCATGCTGGGTGTTCCCAATGGGACAATTTATATCCAGATGTCTTGCTATTTCTATTAGGGCAAAGATCTGAAATAAACGAATATAGAAACCAAGTTAATGTTTAGTCTAATATGACTCCAGTTCCAAAAAAGCGTCATACTGGATTTGAAAAGTTAACTCTCTCCTCACAAGTGCTGCCAGACTTGCTGTTTTCTGTTTTTATTTCAGACTTCCAACATTTGCAGTATTTTACTGTCAACCAAATAGAGATCTATTTACTTCTTTAATGCTATTATGTTCTGTAAATTTCTTTTCTCACCTTTGTAACTTCTATTGTATTAAAAGCATGTGCATCAAACGAATATTAGCCAACCATTTGTTTTTTTGTGAAGCGGTTTTAAAGCTAGAATCATTAACGACCATTGTGAAATTCCACTGGGGAGTGACACTCTCACGGTCTGCTCTCCCTAACCTTTGTTTTCTGCAAGAAACAAAGACCGAGCTGGGGGAATTGTACTGAGCTGCTTCTTGTCATATATTAAAAATGGTTAATGAAAATCTTCAATGTATTTGCATCCTGATCAATATATTTTTACTTACTTGTAGCTGACTTGACACAGGAGAGTAAAGAAAATCAATGGATGGGTGTTTCTGTGAAAAGTCAGGGACCAGGTGGAAAGGTCATGGTAAGTTTTTTGAACTCTTTTTCTATATGGTACTTTGTAAAATATATAAGCTTCCAGTCAGCATGGAGAAAGTGTGCTAACTACATAGTAATTTTACCCCAGAGCCTTTCAGCTGGGAGGCAGTAATAAAGTCGAGTTCGGAGAACAAATGTCGAGTGTAATTACAGTGTTGGCATCATCCCTTACTTTTTCTGATGTGAACTGAAGACACTTGAAGAAGATTTCTGTACTGACTTTACCTGAAATTCTCTTTTTTGCTTATGATATGTTTGTGAAACATTTAACTCTTGATGTTGTCATGTAACAAGATTAGAACAAGAAAAATATTTAAATAGTTTAGCCTGGAACAGGATGTTATTTAATGGTGGGCTAACCAGATTAACAAAAAGGAAATTGCTAATATCAGGTAATGCCTAGTACTAAAAACAGATTATATTTTATTAATTTCAGGTTTGTGCTCATCGATATGAGCTAAGGCGATATGTGAATAAACCAGACGAGGCTCGCGATGTGACTGGACAATGCTATATTTTGAGCGAGGATCTCGTTTTCCGCGAAAATGAAACTGATAAAAATGTGAAACTTTGTGTTGGGCGACTTCGGGGTCATGAAAAATTTGGTATTTGTCAGCAAGGTGTAGCTAGTGCTTTCACCAACGACAGTAATTATTTTATATATGGAGCACCAGGTGCTTACAACTGGAAAGGTAACTTGTAATTTTAAAAAAAATGTAAGTTTTCTTTCATCTTGTTTTAAGATGATACAGATGTTGGGAATTAGCCATTAAAAACTGTAGATAGCATGGAAGGAAAAGTTTCATAGATTTGCATTACATTCTGGGTCTGGGGGAGGCGGGATGTGTTGAGATGGTGGGGGATTTGTAATCTGGATACACCAGATGCAACTGAATATGTCCAATTTGCAGTGCTGGCAAGTTCCAGATGTTGCATATCACTGTGATGAACCCAAAGGGAAGTTTCATGGGCTCATGGTACTGGGTAAGCTCCCCATCCCTGTTGAATAGTATTTCTGCATTTAAGATGATTGACAAAAGAACTGGAGGCAACGTGAAGGAAAGCTTTTTTTGAAATACAGCAGGTATGTGGGAGCGGGAGCGTACTATCCAGAGATGTGACAAAGGCAAGTTCAGTTGGGACTTTCAAAGGGGAATTGGATAATAAATTGAAGTGATTTAGTAAAGGCAAGGGAATGGGTCAAACTGAGTAACTCTTTCAGAGCCCAAGCATGGACTTGATTGATTGATTTATTGTCACGTATACCAAAGTGCAGTGAAAAGCTTTGTTTATGAGCAGAACAAGCAGATCAGAGTAAGCAAGGGTGTACAGACCAAAAATACTTAGTCAGAGAGCATTACTTGAGTCCAAAAAATCCACTCATCAGTCTAATAATGACCAGGTAGAAGCTGTTCCTGAACCTGCTCATGCATGTGTTTGGGCTTCTGTATCTTCTGCCTGACAGAAGAGGTTATAGGAGATCATTACCTGGGTGGGTTGGGTCTTTGATGTTGGAAGCCTTTCTGGGGGCAGCGAGTCATGTAAGTGGAGTCCATGGATGGAAGGTGGGCTCCCGTGATGGTCTGGGCTGTGCACACCACTTTCTGTAGTTTCTTATGGTCCTGGGCAGAGCAGCTGCCATACCAGGCCAGTATGCACCTGGACAGTATGTTTTCAATGTGCATCTGTAGAAGTTGGTGAGGGACCTTGTGGACATGCCAAATTTCCTGAGCCACCTGAGAAAAGAAGAGGCGTTGTTGTGCCTTCTTGTTTGTCGCATCTACATGGGAAGTCCAGGACAGGTTGTCGGTTATAGTGATTCTGAGGAACTTGACACTCTCCATCCTCTTAACCTTAGCCTCAGTTCTGTTGGTGTAGATGGAGGCATGTTCTCCTCCTTTCTTTCAGAGTCAATGATCAGTTCTTTAGTTTTGCCCACTTTGAGAGACAGATTGTTTTCATTGAACCACATCACCAATCCCTCTATCTCCCTTCTGTATTTTGACTCGTTGTTGTTAGATATCTGTCCGACTACATTGGTGTTGTCAGTGAACTTGTAGATGGCATTCATTTGGAATTTGGCAACACAGTTGTAGGTGTACAGGGAGTACAGTAGGGACCTGAGGATGCATCTTTGTGGGGCTCTAGTGTTGAGTGTTATTGTGGAGGAGGTGCGGTTACTTATCCTCACTGATTGCGGTCAGTGGGTCAGAAAGCTGAGGATCCAGTTGCAGAGGGCCATGACCAGCCTCTCGCAACATTTCATGATTGAGGTCTGAGCCACTGGGCGGAGTTATTAAGGCACACTGCGTGTGCTTTCTTGGGTACGGGGATGATAGTGGTCTTCTTGAAGCAGGTGGGGACTTCGGCTTGTAGGAGGGAGATGTCGAAGATGTCGGACTTCACAGGGTAAATAGGCACCTTCTCTGCTGTAGCTATTTTAAGATTCAATAATAAAACCAGAATCCTACACTACTTCTTAGATAAATCAGGCAGTTTGATAGGACCAGCTGAAAGTTTAACAGATGATCGTTTACAGGCAATTTATCTGAATGTATATCTTCAATTAAATATGGGGATAGGCTCTCCTGTTCCTTCAGGCCCCATGTTCAGGCAAGTATGTGTGAAAAGCTTTCCTCATGGGTGATAATATCTACGTTTTATTAAGTGCAGCTATTGTAGCACAGGCAAAGCAATCCTGTAGTAGGAGCTCACTCACATGTTCAGTACTTTGTGTATATAAGTTAGGGACTAAAAATCTGCTTCAGGAATGGGATTTGGAAGCAATGTTTGTCTAAGTGTTGCTGAAAGAAGACCTTTTTTTTTGCCAAAGTTTTTTTGTCTTGTCCTGATGAGTGCAAGACGAAAGGCAACGGCTTTGGCAAAACATTATCTTGGTATACATTTTACTAAAAGTTGTTGAACATTAACATGCAGATGTATGGCTCCCAATATCATTGACAAAATAGATGAAAAATGTAGTTCCTATCCATTTGTCAATTCATACCACTATCTAAAAGTGAAAAATCTAATTGTTACTGTAGTTATATTGTGAAAGAATTGGGATATGGGGTATAATTGCATTGTACAGTGCTTCCATTGATTGCACATGATTAATTTTCTTCTTGGAATTTGGAAAACTATCCAACTACATAAACAACTTAACGAATATTTAAAATATTTAATCGTGTGACCAAAATAATTGTAACTGTAGATAGAGTGGAATTGTTGATCTCATTTTTGTACCTTGGGATAGGATGGCAATGTGAGGTAACCTGCTTCCAGTTCTGCAGAAAGATGCTAATTATGCCAGTTAACTGTTTGTTCCCTCAGGAATAATACATGTGGAAGAAAGCAAAAATATTGATGAGATTGACTTTGATGGACCCTATGAAGTGGGTGATGAAAGCAAACGTGACGAAAAATTGATACCTGTCCCTGCTAACAGCTATTTAGGTAGGTATTAATAATTTTATAAGAGAAAGGAATAGATACTTTTTTAACAAAAAGCAATACAAATGATCTGGAGAGAGGGCAGGCACATGGGGCTAATTGGTAGCTCATTCACGGATATGGGACTAAATAGTCTCCTGTGCTGTTAAGATTTTGTGTATCTGCAATTCACGTTAGAGGAATTTCTATAATTAACCATTAATCCTCCCTTTTGTGACCCTACAATATAGGGTGTGCAAATCTCACGCTGTGCTTAGTTTCTAAATCCATAATAAAACTGTATTGGAAAAAATTTGTGCTGACAGACTCAAGTAAATAGATACATTGAGATGCTGGGGGTGAGCACATATGACAGTGTTTGTATGTACTTCTGAGTAAAAGGTAGCACTTGTACAGTTAAAGGTAGATGTCGAGCCCAGTTTCTTTCCCAGTCTGATCAGGAATCAAATATTAAGCTCTGAAACTCCTCTGAATCTAATCCAAACACTTGCTTTCTGTAAGGTATTTACTTTATCGATTTATCTATGGCTGTTTATTTGATTAAGTATGCAGTCTGATCCTATTGTTTTGTGTTAGGCTTTTCTCTGGACTCGGGCAAGGGAATCACATCGAAGGACACATTGACCTTTGTATCAGGTGCACCAAGAGCCAACCATGCTGGAGCAGTTGTTTTCCTAAAGATAGAAAAACGGACAAGAAACCTAATGACTGAACATGTTCTGGATGGTGAAGGGTTGGCGTCCTCTTTTGGATATGATATTGCTGTGGTGGATCTTAATCAAGACAGGTGAGGAGGCACATACCTATTTAGAATGCTAAAAGTTCAGGAAATATCTAGTCATTCTGTGGACTGAGCACCTCCAGTTGTTCTGACGTTACTTCTGCAAGTAAATGAATTTTCCAGTTTGTTTTTAAAAAATGCGTGGTACTACAATGATAAAATAGAAGAGGGAATAGCATTAAATTGACAACATTGTTCAAAATATTTCTTTTAAAAACAAAAGTACATGAGGCAAGCCTGCCTTCTTTTGTAAGAGATGAAAAGGGGGCCACTATGAGTTTATTCTCTCCTGTAGAGCCATTAGCCATCTCCTCACTGCTGCCCACAAGTACTGACCTCAATCTTCAGCCCTTGACGTGGAATATACTTCACCAAGCCAGGAGAGAAATCATCCAGTTTCTTTCTTGCTGTATATCGATCATCATTTTAAATTTGGTTTACCACTCGTGATTGGGTATCTGAACCCTTGCCTGGAAAGAGGGTGGGTAAATTTGAAGACTATTTTTCAGTTGTAGGAATTTTTGTTTTCACTGTTAATAACTTTAACTTGATCTACAGCAGACGAAAATCCAGGCCTCTTAAATTTGCTTTGTTCCCAACATCTAGTCAAAACTAGTGAACTAGTTTCCAGCATAAACATCAGGTCCAGGAAAATACAAAACTATATTCAAAAGCAATCATTTGTCATAGAGTCATACAACATGGAAACAGACCCCTTGGTCCAACTTGTCCATGTTGACCAAGTTTCCCAAACTTAAACTAGTCCCACTTGACTGCATTTGGCCCATATCCCTCTAAACCTTTATTATTGATGTACTAATTCAAATGTCTTTTCAATGTGGTAACTGTACCTGCATCCACAACTTCCTCTCACAGTTCATTCCACATATGAACCATCCCCTGTGTGAAAAAATTGCTCCTCAGGTCTCTCTTAAATCTTTCTCCTCTCACCTTAAAAAATTCCCCCAGCTTTGAACTCCCGCACCATAGGGGAAAGATCATTGCTCTTCACTTTATCTATGCCCATCATGATTTTACAAATCTGTATAAGGTCACCCGTCAACCTCCTACATCCAATGAAAAAAGTCCTAGCCTATTCATCCTCTTCTTATAACTCAAACCCTCCAGTCCTGGCAACATCCTGGTATATCTTCTCCAAACTCTCTCCAATTTAATAATATCCTTCATATTGCAGGACGACCGGAACTGTAGACAGTACTCAAAGTGGCCTCACCAACATCCTGTACAACCTCAACATGAAGTCCCAATTCCTATACTCAAATGTCTGACCAATGAAGGCAAGCACACTGAACGCCTTCTTAACCATCCTGTCTACCTGTGATGCAACTTCCAAAGAACTATGTAACTGAATCCCCTTGATCTGTTTGCCAACACTACCCAGGTCCCTACCATTTACTGTATTAAGTCCTACCCTTGTTTTACCAAATGCAATACCTTTCATGTGTCCAAATTAAACTCCATCAGCCACCCCTCAGCCCACTGGCCCAATTGATCAAGATCTCTTTGTAATCTTAGATAAACTTCTTCACTGGCCACTACACCACCAATTTTGGTGTCATCTGCAAACTTACTAACCATGCCTCCTAAATTCTCATCCAGATCCTTTATATAAATGATAAACAAAAATGAACCCAGCACCAATCCCTGTGGAACACCGCTGGTCACAGGCCTCCATGTCGAGAAACAACCCTCCACCACCAATGTCTGTCTCCTACTGTCAAGCCAAGTTTTTATCAAGTTGGCAAGCTTTCCCTGAATCCCATGTGATCTAACTTTACTAATTAGTCCATCAGGAGGAACTTTGTCAAAGGCTTTACTAAAGTCCGTGTAGACAATGTCGACTGCACTGCCCTAGTCAGTCTTTTTGGTTACGACCTCAAAAGTGCTCAAACCAAGTTTGTGAGACATAATTTCCCTTGCATGTTGACCATCCTAATCAGGCCTTGATGCTCCAAATGCAGAAAAATCCTGTCTCTCAGAATCCCCTCGAACAATTTACTAAGCATCATGTCAGACTCACTAGCCTATAGTTCCCAGGCTTCTTCTTACAGTCTTCCTTAAATAAAGGCACTTCATTAGCAACCCTCCAGCCCTCCTGCACCTCGCCCATGGATGTAGATGATATGAATATCTCTGCTAGGGGCATCACAATTTCTTCCTGAGTAAAAATTCGAATATTGTTGAAATGAGAGACGTGCTATTGTAGCTTTTCATCTTGCACTTGTCAGGGCAAACTGATAAGGACACGAATTCCACATTTCATACAATCAGAAAAATTTAAACCACGGAGATTAAAGAAAAGTCTTAAGAGAATAGCTCCAAGAATGTTGGCCTCCAGCTACGTAGATGTAATAGAAAAGTTGGGACTGCTCTTCAGGGAAAAAAAATGTTGAGATTTGTTCAAGGTGCTCCACAACCATGAGGGGTCTGGACAGAATAGATAGGGACAGTTAGCACTGACAGCAGAGTCAAGGACTAGTGAACAGATTGATAGTAAATAGTAAAAGAATCAAAGCTGGTTTGGATCGGAATGCGCAATAAACATGGGTTTCAAAAGAGAATTTGATAATTATCTGAAGGAGAAAAAAATTGCAAGGTGGATGTGGGACTAAGTTGCTCCTATAGAGTTCCAACTCTGACAAGACAGGCAGGATAGTCACTTTTTTACTGTAACCATTCTATGAAATGTGAAGAATAACAATGCACAAATTATTCTTAGTTTAATTTAAGCGCTTGCCTTTATCTTCAATTTGAGACTTCATGCTAGAGTGCCACCCAGTGCCTTTGATGTGGAATTACATGTTAGCACAGATGCTGGTTTTAGACAGGAAAGTACAATTCAGTATTTGTTGAACTAAGGTTACCACACCAGCCTTTTAATATTTTCATTAATCACAGCACCACTGATCTACCACATTTTAGAAAGCTTTTGCTGTAGACAGACAGAAAGAAAGAAGTAGCATGTTCAAAGTGCTGTTCACAACGTTGGGGAATGCCAAGATGTTTTGCATCCCATGAAGTATGTTTGAATTGTGGTCATTATTGTAATGAAGGAAACTAGACAGGACCACTCCAATGTTTTCTGACAAACTTTGAGCTGAAATTTTCCAACTCAACTAATCAGTTCTAATAAATAGAAAAAAATGCTAAAATTTCCAGCAGCATCTGTGGAGAAGGAAACAGAGTTTACATTTCGGTTCTGTACCTTTTCACAGTTAGAAGTGTGATTGACTTTGAGCACATGAAACAGGGTAGGATGGGAAAAAGACAAAAGTGAAGATTCATGATAGGGTGGAGGCAAGGCAAAATGAAGTGACCAAAGGATAATGGTGCGAGGCCAAAGGGAATAGTGATGTAATAAGCAAAAGTTGTGTCTAGAGGGGGTGAGGGGTGTATATCATAACTGCCTGCTATCTGAAAATGATGGAAGAAAGAAGAAATGGTAGCTGGTGGAATTTATAGTAAATTATTAAATCTGAAATATAGTGTTAATCCCAGGAAGTGTGACCCTGATAATGTTGATTGTTGTTTAAGTTCTTTAGGGAAGGAAACCTGTCACCCATACCTGGTCTGACTTGCATGTGATTCCAGAACTATACAATTTGGTTGCCTCTTAACTGCCCCCTGAAATGTAAGTCCCCTGTTCAAAGGCAATCAGAGATGAGCAACAAAATCCTCAACTTGCCAGTCACACCCACTTTCCACAGATGAATAAAGAAAAAATAGAAGAGTGCAATTTGGGAAGAGCAGTGCACTCGGAGTACTACCTGGATTCCTGCCTTTTATCTGGACAAAATATTACATTTTGAGAATGCTTACATCAAAGCATTGCATTATTACTCTTTACTCAATTTTGTACAGATTCACTAACGCATAAATTCCCAGAAAATAACATCCAGAATTCCAATCTTCAGGTACTGTCTTTGCAATGCAGGCCTCCCTCAGTGACATAGGGCATGCAGTTGTGGCATGTTCTCATATGATTCAGAACCAAATCACCTCTGTGTCACAGATTTTCTGCTGACAAAAAGTTTCATAACTTTCATGTAGCACCTTAAGTGTAAAAGCAAACACTGTTCCATGGCACCGAGAAAGACCACAAGAGGAGAATCTGAAATGCAGACACTGATGTTAAGAGAGTTACCAAATCTTTATTCACACAGTTGGGTTTTCAGGAGGGTCTCTAAGTATAAGAGGGAGTTAAAGACAACGTTAGAGATTTCTTTCAGTGCCACTCTGGCATTTACTCAGGTGACAGAGAGTAAGTGAAGTAAGGATTACCAGAAATGTCTGATGGCATAAACAGTTATTTTCTATTGTTGTTCACTGCATTAAAGACAACCACTGCACTTCATGCTAGTGACTGAAAATTTAATATAGTAAAAATGTTTATGGGGGGATTGGATAGTCACTTGAAAATGTGGAATACAGAAAATAGGGAATAACCTGGAGATCAGCATTAGATTGGATGATTCAGGAGGATAGAAAATACCCAAAAGACCAAACAGTCTGTTTTCTAATTATTATTTATTTGTTAATCAACCTATTTGGACATGTGATGACACACCTCCATGGTAGGTGGGTCCTGAACATGGGTCTTCTGGTCCAGAGGTAGAGAGGCTACCACTGTGCCACAAGATCCTAAGATAATCTATTTCTCTGCTGTGTAAATTTAATAGTCTGGTGAACCATATTCTTTCTGCACGTTGATCCAGAGAGTCATAAGAGAGCATTTGGGCCATCAAGTTTATGCCAGCTCTCTGTAGAGCAATTCATTCCATCTTGTTGCTGTTCTCTATCCCTGTAACCCTGTAGATTTATATCCCTCAAGTGTGCTTCTAATTTTGTTTTGAAATCATTGACAATTTCTACTTCCAACACCCTTGGAGGCAGGGATTTTCAGGTCATAAGCTTCTCCCTCTGCATCTCTCTTGTCCAGCACCTTGAATCCATGTCCCTTACTCCTTCTACCATCAAATAATGGAAGCAGCTTTTCTTTCCAGTCCTCCAGAAAGTAGCGGTCCAAGTACTGATCCTCAGGGATCCCCACAGTCCGCTGTGCCCCAGTGTGAAAAACAAGTAAAGTGAAAAGCTCACCAACATCTTACTTGCCTATCTGTGAGCTCGCACTTGCAATTTTTGTTTTATCTCAAGCTCACTCTTTCCGTTTCTTGCTGACTTCCCATCACTATTTTTAAGTATGCATTTCCAGATCATTTACTTTTTTAGTTAAATCTCTGGAATACAAATTTAAAATTGTGTAAGTGTCACATAATTTCTGAATATTCATCCCTCCATCATTTTACTTTTTCCACATTTATTTAAGGCATGATGACAGCTAACGATAACAATGGTGGGAGTTAGAACACCTGAATATGTAAAACTGAAATAGTTAAATTCAGTTGTATAGATGTGTGCATTCCTATTGTGGTGGATGGTGTGATGGAGTAATTGTCAAAAAAGTCTACATTTTGTTTCTGCACTTTAAGTGAGAATGTTTGTTTTTTTCCCAGCTGGTTGGATCTTGTGGTAGGATCCCCACAGTTCTTTGACAGAGAAACAGGAATTGGTGGTGCTGCTTATGTTTACATTAATCAAGGAGGAAATTGGAAGAACATAAAGCCCATTCGTTTAAATGGGACCAAAGATTCCATGTTTGGACTGGCTGTTGAGAATATAGGTGACATTAACCAGGATGGGTATCCAGGTAAGATTGTAATTGGTTAAAAACTGAAAAAATAATTTATATTTAAATAAGCTGAGAATTTATATCCTTATTATATTAAATTGCAGATAGCCTGATAACACCCAATATGAAATATGGTTTGCAATTTCTGCCTCAAATGTTACTGTTAATAAACTCTTTAACATGAACATTTTTGTTAGAAATGTCCTATGTAAACATTTATTTTGGGTTTCTTTAATAATCCTATAATGAAAAAACAATGTAAATACTTAAGGTTCATTGAAACACAGTGTGATAACGATCATATCACTGAAAATGTTTCTTAAAATATAGCCTACCATTTATTTTGTAAATAACCAAAATTCTAATGTACAAAGATTTTAAGCAAAGTAAAATATCAAAACTACTTCTTTCACAATTTTATCAGTTGATTTTTGTTTTAATGGCTTAAAGTTCTCAGCCTTTCCTGAAAGCCTGGGCTTTGATTGTGTTTTCTCAAAAGCTATATTCTGTAATATGAACAACTTCTCAAAATACATGTGTAGTATTTACAGCAAGTGAAATGAGACAATATTTCTCCACTGTGTTCTCAGAAAATCTATTAGTTTTTTTAACCAACTTTATTGGAACAAAGTTAGTGGACAAATTTCAAAAGCATTATTCAATTAAATGTTCGACCAAGTAGTTTTGTGGAAGAATTAGGGAAAAACATGAGCCCTTATTACCATAAATAAGTAATCAGTAATGTTCAAATTGTAAGTACTCTGTCCTAAATTCTGTTCAAATTTCAGAAGGCATATTAAACTGAGGCAAACACTGTCTGGCATTTGTATGTCCTTCAGAGAAACTGCCACATTTTTGTTCTATTATTTTCAATGGAATGATAATTAGGTGGAAACTCGAAGGTAATACAATCCATAAATCAGATTATTGTCTATTTGATCAAGAGAGCGCAATCAAAAATCAAAAATGAATTGCCCTTTATTTAGCTAAACAATACTAAACAATGATGTTAACTGGCATGAGGCTGAACACCACCCTGCTACACGTGCAAATACTCACAGCTAGCAAGAGAGTACTTTGAAAAAAAAGGCATAAATGGGCATGTAGCATGGGAAGAAGCAGACTTGACTTGGCCCTCAAGGAGCCAAGAAGAGTTACCATTGACCATCTTTATAAATGGGCCAAAAATTTGTAAATATTCTTGAACTTCCAGTGGTCCAGACAGAGTCATGTTCCTGGATCCTACAGTCTTTGCTTCTACTCATCTGCTAAGTGGGATCAAGGAACCTCCTAGCCATGTAGTCCTCTTTCTCAAATACAGGTAAGTTTAGTTGGGCTGGACAGAGCTTCTGACTCAAAATGAGCTTCTGGAACCTAGTAGCAAAATCTAGTAGTTTTTGGTCCCAGAATGTTTCCTGGACCTTTTGTTAACAGCTTCCAAATTAACAGCACATATTCCTCAGGTGATGCATGAAAGTTTAGGGATAATACTAAGTCCACCATGATGTGTATTCTCAATTTTAATTTTATTCCCTCAAACAGTCACAAGCAGATGAGGTAGGGATTATTGATTGAAAATTTTCATGAAATAATGGACAATTGCAGATTTCAAAACACCAGTATAAATTGAACTTAACTTATTTAATCATTGAAAATGATGACACCCACTAAATATAGATATTATTCTTATAGTGCAGTGTATCCTTCAATTTATTATGAGCAGTGTCAACAAATATCTGCTGTTGTTATTATTAATCTGTATTTGTAAAGAAGTCACCCATTCTTTGTATCCTTCTTTAGATATTGCTATTGGAGCACCTTATGAGGAAAATGGTAAAGTCTACATATACCATGGATCTCGTTCTGGGATAAATACAGAACCCTCTCAGGTAAAACTCTCACCAAGGTTTCACATTTGTAGATCATAGAATCATACAGTACAGAAGAGGTCCTTGGGCCCAACCAGTCTGTACTGCCAAAAATGTTTTATAATGTGTACATAAAGGTTTGTTATTAATCGGAAAAACAGTTTGAAATCTATTTACAGAATTATGCAAAAAACTTTGGCAAACATGTCCTTTTAGTATATTGAAGTTTTAAGTTGTGTGTTAACACTTTTTGTGCTACTTATAAGAGTACAAAATAAAAGGCCAAACAATCCCTTTTAGAACAGCAAAGCCAACAACTAATTCCAGGCAGTTTGGCTGTGTAAACTATAAAATGTGCAAGAATCTCACCATTGTATAATGAGTTATGTAACTGATGATGATGTGAGTCTGATAAATCAGTAAGAGAGATTGAGAGAAGATATCAGATTAGAAGCAGCATGTAAAAAGAGACCCCACACTGGATAGCTATATTTAGTAAGCTGCAATGGATAGATGTAACTAAATGTTACAGAATGGAAGAGCTTTACTTAGGGATAAACTTACTTAGCCTCTGGCATACTGTCTTTGTAAACACTCAGAGCCCAGAGATACTAAGGAGAAGTATTGAAGTATTCTAACAGCAGTATTAACTTCTAGCATATAATAAAGGATGAAGGTGACCTGAAATCTAAGGTATTAATTTTGAATTGACCAGAGAATTACATTGTATTGTCAGAGTCTTTGCATTGTAAAGGATTGGCTATCCTTTCAATTTTACAAGAATAGCTGTTTAATCTAGTGTCATTCTGAAAAATATAGTTTGGCCAGTTTGTTTCAGCAGAGCTGAAAGAGGTGGTCGTGAAGCAGAAGCAAGAATCAGGTACCAGTCAGGGCTCATAGCTTTGATAGTATATTTGAGTGCTTTAGGATGGGAATAGATGACTTCAATCTTATCTAATAGATTGTTTAGTGGTCAGAAGTCTCCTTTTGGGGAATTATATTGGTCATTTGAATCAGCCTAGAGAAGATTTCAGTCTTTTAGTCAGTAATCCAAGGGTTACCTGTTTCCTAGTTTCAAACTAATCAGCACATACAGTTGCAGCAGATTTCAAATGGTAACTTTATTCTACATTGTAAAAGGCAAACATAGATCATGACGGATACAAGATCTGTTAAATAGGAATAACTGGTGATGTTGAACTCAAAAAGGTGCCCATCGAGCCCCAAAATGGGATTTGCCTGCCAAACATCCTATTGGTATATGCTTTTGTATTCACTACAAATGAGCACCCGAGGTAATTAAAGGAGGCAGATCATAAAGTCAATCAGCCTACACTCCGATTTCATGTCAGCAGCGCCATTTTGGAACTTGGTGATATTGCCTGTCTTAACATCACAACTTTTAAAAGGATGTTCACCTATTTACAGGTTAATTGTTGAGGTTGGAAAGAGCTAATACAAAGCAAAGAACTGCAGATACTGGAAATCTGAAACAAATACAAATTACTGGAGAAACTCAGCAGGTCTGGCAGCCTACACTTCCTTCTCTCTTGCCTGACTAAAACAGGTGAAGTAAGCCTGTGGCTTTGCTAGGATTGCAGACTTCCTCAGAATGAAAAGTGCCAATCACTTCCACATGTCAGTTCTGTCTTACATCAAAACCAATAGGGATTCCTATCTTTCAATCTCCAGTTGGTAGTGGATCATAGAGATCAGTATCCTGGATGCAGTAGAGGGTGTCTTCATTCTGTTGCAATCTGCTGTAACATCTACATTTGAGCTTCCGTGACAAAGCAAATGGCAGCTCCAGGTGATCCAGTGCCTACATGCCTGATTATTCCAGTATGAGACCCATAGACCCCACCGTGAGCAGCATGCATACCATCAAAACCACTTTTCCATAGGCAATGTGCTAAAGCATTAGCTAAAACACAGCCTTCATTGCCTCGAACATCCTGGAAGAGCTCTGTAGTCCTCAGCAAAATGGGTGTTGAACCCGACCTGCTGCATGCAGCACAACTTGGCCATCGTGGGGAGATGGCCCTTACCACCAACAGTACGATGAGCAGTTAAGGAGTAGAGAGTGGAATGGGAAAAATGGTGTCAACCTGGACAGCCCCTATCTGGCTTGGAAAATGTATCAGAGTGTGATACTAACAGCAACTGCAGTTCCTAATCACTGACAGTCTTGCATCTTACACTTTCTCTTTGTCATTGACCATTATTTATAGAAAAACTTTAAAGAAAGAACCAAAAGGAGGTCATTCAGCCCATTGAGCTTGCTTGGCCCTTCAATTCGAGCACGGCTGATTACTTCTCTGTGCGGTACTCCTGCTGTCTCCAATGTCACATGATGCTTTTAGTGCCTAGAAATCTATCTTTTTAGTTTAAAATCTTTTCAATGACTTGGCCTCATCGCCTATATGGTAGAGAATTCCACAAAGTCAGATACTCTGGAACAAAGAAATCCATCATCTTAGTCCTAAATAGTCCACCTGCATCCCAAGACCATGATCCCTTGTTCTGGACCCCACAGCTAGAGGGAGCATCATTGCTGCTGCATTCGGTCAGTCCAGCCTGTCAGAACTTTATACATTTCAGTGAGATCCCCTCATTTTTCTAAACTCCTGTGAATGTGGATCTAATCAGCCCAATCTCAATTCATATGGTCATCGCAGGAATCAACTTGGTGAACCATTGCTGAACTCTCCTGATGGTAAACATATCTTCCCTTGGGTAAGGAGACCAAAATTACACACGTGTTTCAGATGGTCTCCTCATGCGCCTACACAGCTGCAGCAAAACATCCATGCTCCTGTACTCCAATCCCGTTGCAATAACGGCCAGTAATTCTCCATTTGCCCTGCTAATTCCTTGCTGCAGCATGTGTCCATAATCACAATCACTGTACTCCCTTTACCACTATTTATGTGCTTGATTTATGTGCATCTTACTGTGAATGCTAGTGCATTCAGATACATCACCTTTAGGTTTGTCTTTTTAATATTTCTGCACATTCTTTTTGTTCTGTAGCCCTGTTTTCTGCTAGCCCTTGTTTCCTCTGCGCTGGTTGATTTTTAAGTTTTCTCGGCCGTTCATGATGTTAACCTCCTTTTTGATCTACTCAGCCAATGAGCAGAACAGTTAGCACTGGTAGGTTACATCATAAATAGGCAGCCTGTAGTTCATGTGCCGTATATGTTACAATCAACAAACAGCATGAATTGTGCATTACAATCCCCACATCCATTATCAGATCTATTCAATTTATCCACCTCGGGTGTTATATCTGATTTACATTCACATATTTAAGAACAAAATTTCAATCTATGTTAAGGTTCCTAACTTTGTGCTGCTTCAATTTGCTGTTAGGTTTGATTTTGAACTTAAAGCCACTTTGAACTGGCAAACGAGAAGCATTTTGTTTTGGTATTTCTGGATATATGAATGGTCTAGATTAGTTTTTGCAGCAAAAACCTTTAAGATATTTGAATGAAGAGCCTTAATGCAGTTTGAGGTTTATGTGCTGCATTTTCAAACATTTGGATGTGTACAGTTGTATTGAGTGCTATTCAGTTACACTTGTGTAGCTTGCTGCATATTCTGACACTTTGCCAGTTATTGCTATTCTAGATCTATAATCCTTTCTTCCCAGCGCTGGTAAGAAAGATGCACCAACACCAGTGTTCTCGACCAGGCCAACATCCCCAGCATCGAGGTACTGACCACCCTTGATCAGCTGCAATGGGCTGGGCATGTTGTTCACATGACTGACATGAGACTCCCCAAGCAGGTGCTCTACTCTTAGTTCCAAAAACGGCAGGCAAGCCCCAGGTGGACAGAGGAAGTGCTTCAGTGATACCCTCAAGGCATTCCCACAGACACCTGAGAATCACTAGTCCAAAACTGTCCAAAGTGAAGAGGAACATCCGGAAAGGTGTTGAGCAGTTCGAGACTTGCTGTCAGGGAAAAAGTGAAAGCCAGGTGAAAACAGCAAAAAGAGGGCACTGCCACACCAACGCCCAATCCACCCCTTCCCACAACGACCTTCTGCCCAAGTGTGATGGAGCCTGCAGTAGCTGCATTGGTCTGTACAGCCACCTACAGACTCATCCTGAAAGTGGAAGAGAGTCATCCTCGTTTGCGAGGGACTACTGATGATGATGATGATGATGATGAGATATATAGTTTAAATGTTATTAATCTAAGTAAATCCTAATAATTATCCTCCCTGTTTGCATTCATTCCAACCGTTAACCTCAATTTCTTTTCTCTTTCCTTCCAGATACTTGACGGGAAAGATTTTGGAGTCCCTCTATTTGGCTATTCTCTTGCAGGCAACCTAGATCTCGATGAAAATAACTACCCTGACATGGCTGTTGGCTCACTCAGTGATGCAGTCTTGATGTACAGGTGAGATATTGTACAATAATCCCATTCCGTAGCGTTGCTAAGAATAAAATACCAACCATATTGGGGTAGAAGTCAGACAGGACCTGTTACTGCCCACAATTTCCTCTGCAAGTAATAACCATTTGGGCCTACACTATGTAGAACTGCTGTGCAGAACTTTCTTTCATTTCCTGTTAAACTGGTTTGCAATGTTAATCACTCTACCCTGCAAGTGACCGCCAGATTAGCAGAAAGCCGTCATGACTCAATCACTGTTCAGTAATCTGCTGTACTTGCCCTCTTGACAGTTATGTTGATTGGTTGGCCAGTAATAACTTTTACTGTTTCCTGCCCTCTGGCACCAATTTTTTTTCCTGGTTGCAATTGTTTTCATGCTGTACAGCTGAGTTTTTCCACTTGCTATTGGTTGGTAATGACCTCAGTAATGTTGCAATCCTGCATTAACCTATCTTCCTGCACTGACTAAGGTTACCACAGAAGACTCACCCTCTCAACCTCATCCCTCACCTGAGGTATGGTGACCCTCTCAGGTTAAACCACCACCAGTTCTCTCTGGAATGAGAGGGCAGCCTGCTGGCCTACCAGGACTATAATGAGTTTTATCCTACATGTGTAGTGCAGGTTGCAAACTTTGCTGAGTTAGCACAAAGTCACACTGGTGGGAATTAAACATGTCTGGCTGCAAACCTGCCAGTGGGTGGATAATTCAACCCTTGGGGATCAGTCTCATTGTTTTTGTCTGCTCTGCCGCCAGACTTTGTGTCTCAATGACCAGCATGCATGCAGTACTTGAAATGTAGTCTGCCACAGAGTGATCATGACCTTTTCAGATTTTTATATTCTATAATTTTGTCGATGTATTTCAATACAATGTTTATTTTATTGATTGCTGCTCAGCATTTAATTAGATACCCTGAGCAGTGGGGACTAAGGACAGTTAACCATTCTCTTTTGGTTCATTCTTAGTTCAGCCCAAAATGTGCAGGTTAGGTGGACTGGCCATACTAAATTGCCCATAGTGTCCAGGGATATGCAGGCTAGGTGGGTTAGCCATGGGAAATGCAGGGTTACAGGGAAGGAGTGGGTCTGGGTGGGATGCCCTTCGGAGGGTCGATGTGGACTCTGGGCTGAATGGCCTGTTTCCACGCTTGTAGGGATTCTATGATTCTAATTCAGATATAGCCATGAAGTACATATTTCAATCATTTTCCCTACCTTTGTGCAGCACTTTAATTCTGTAACTTCTCTGGTGCTTCTTCCATTTGGAATGCTGCTCCTGAATTTTATTTTCTACAAATTTGACTATTTTGCATGAAGTTCTGAACCCAGGTGACATCTGCAGCTCGAAACAGATTCAGATGAGAATGTGGCCTCACTGACAGGACCAACATTTAATGGCCATTCCTAATTATCTTTGGGAAGCTGATGCTGAGCCACTTCCTTGTTATCACTAATGGTGGTGGAGGGATTAATATTTAAGTTGATGAATAGGACACTTCTCTAGTGGTCTGTATTGTCCAGATGGTATCGAGTTTCTTAAGTACTGTTGACACTGCCGCCATCCAGCTAAGTAGAGAATATCCCATCACATTTCTGACATGTGCCTTGTAGATGGTGTGAAATCTTTACAAATGGGTTATTCACCACTGAATACCATGTCTGGTCTGTCTCTGTAGACCCAATATTCACTGAGAGGTTGAGTTTCGGTCAGTGGTGATTCTGTATTGTAGATAATCAGGATTTCAGTAATGGAATACCATTGAATGTCATGGGGAGATGGTTGGACTCTGTTGTGTAAGAGATGGTTATTGCCTGGTGCTTGCCACTGAATGTTGCTCACATCTTGCTGCATGTGGGCATGGAGTACCTCAACGTCATATTTGAGGAGTTACTACTATTCCACAATTAGTTTCTTATTCCATTCACTGGATTCCCCTGCATTTGTTTTCGTGAATAGTGATTTCTGTAGAACTTAATCAAAAACTTATTGGCAATTGACGTAGGACATTTTGTGGCATTTTCACAATAGTTTTCCACTTTTGAGTCCATGTTGTTTGCTGTTTACTGGATTATTATCGTACAGGTAACTTTCGTGTTCAAACCATATCATTATTTTGCACAGAAGCGAAGTAAACATAACGGGTCTGAGTCTGTTTTGTCAATTGTTTTTTGAGAAATGCTATATGAGCCTGTTTTCATCTACTCTTACCTTCCCAATGTTGCTTGACTGAATCCTGTTGATCAACAGTATTTCATTAACTTCCTCTCTAATCTGTCAACATTCTAGGATACCATGTACCTTTTGAATTATTTTTGATTCTTTTCACCATTTACCAGATTTCCATCTCAACTATACAGAAGTCTTTATCTTTTGCGAGGCATTTTATTTGTTCTTAACGTCTTTCCTAGGGCACGACCTGTTATCCAAATCACAAAGAAAGTCACTACTACACCCCAGATTATTGATATGAAGAAGAGCCATTGTCGTAATAATCAAGGATTTTGGTAAGTAATGTAAAACCGTAAAAGTGTCGACCAATCTATATTTGTTTAAAATTACCCATCATGTTTCTCACCAGTATGACAAACAGGTGTGTTTCAGTTGAGAATCAGGAACTGCTGATGGATGCAGGTGGAGGAACTGGAGAGCAGTTGATGGGGCAGAGATTCAACTAAAGCTGCAGACTCTCCTGAGAGCTTTTACAGGGCCTTTGATAGGTTGGTTGCAGAGGTTATGAACTAAAGGGTGTAACCTGGTGACCATTACTTCCTGTTCCTAATATATTTCACTGAATCTTGTGTTAAGGAATGCATTAGAGGAGATTCAGCTGAATCTGCAGTATCAGAGACATGTGATTCAGATATTTGCTTCACATATTGGCAGGTTATTTTCCTGTAATTTGAGCGGTCACAAACAAACCAGCTACCAGTAATTTTTAAGGAATATTCAAATTGATTTTATTTGAAAGATAACCAATCTTCAATCCAGCACAACACAGTCTCAGTTATTGAATATGTTTTTAAAGCATATTTATCTTTGGTAACTGAACAGAGACTAGCCCTTATCTTCAGACATTTTGTCTTCCCTAAACTCAAGTGTGTACCTGAGATTCTCTTCTTGGGCTTTTGTGATTCAATTGTTGATTACCCCGCTAAAATCAGAGCAGAAATCCATACTCTGGGGTTATCAACTCTGTCAAATCCTGCTATTCAAACAACCCTGAATTATGAACATTAAGCGAGGAACAAAGTCGGAAAGTTTGACTGGGAGCTGTCATGCAGAGTAATAGATGGACGTGCTGGCAACAGTTGTTGCAAAGTAATGGATAGAATAAGCAGAACGGACAGATTGGAATAGTATGTTAGGCAGATGAAACGGGAACAGACACACCCAAGCTGGGCTGATCAGAATATACTTCAATGTGAAAGTCAGGCTGGTGAAGAAAATGATTGAACTTGGGGACAACTGCTAAAAATACTTAAAATGCTAGGAAACTGAAGACGTCTTTTGAAAATGTTCTTATGAGGATCTGAATGTTTCTTGATGCTGTGTGATTAACATGGAATGATCAGGAAAAGTTTAACGTTCAAAGAGAACTGTGATATAACTGTTACAGGCTCACTAATATAAAGCGATTCATATTGGATAAATGAATTATATTTGTGTTTACTATGCTAGTAACAGTACCAAACCAACAGAATATGATTCTTTTAACAAGCCTAACAGAGCTCCTACCATTTTTCTGTATATTCTCCATCACCCAAGGAACTTGCATCCAAATTGTGGCTCCAGGATCTAACTTTTTCTAATTTGTTCTGCTTAACCATTCCTGTAGGAACTAAGAAATGGGTTGTTCCAAAGTTTTGTGTATACTAAAATATATAATACCTTTTCTTTACAGTATGACTGTCAAGGCATGCTTTATGTACACAGCTCATCCCAGCGATTTCAATTCCATGATACGTAAGTGAAAGAAATATCTCCCTGTCATTTTGTTATTTTTCTGATTAGTTAATGTTACTAATATGATTAATTCCCTATTTAGATGTAATCTATTGGATTGAAGCTGACACTGCACCACATAAGGTGGGTTGGAAGCCAAGAGTCAGATTTGCTGGGAATGTTTCCGTTAACAATGTGACTGGCAGCCTCATATTAAAAGCGCAAAGAGAAGAGGAATGTGTCACTCAAATAATACAGCTGCAGGTAAGAACTTCTTAATATTAAAATTTTAGACAGTCTCTTTTTATTGGTGACTGGAGCTGTACCCATTTTAAAATAATCTTGACATTTTTATTTGATTCAACGTATTAAATCATCAAGCACATTTAGTTTAAGCTTTTCAAACTTGACTTTAGTGAGAGATGATGTATACTAGACATCATGTGGTGCACTGCATGAATTTCTGTAACATTTTTTTCAGCAGAAGACAACGTTTTTGAATTATTTATGCAATGTAAACTCCATTTTGAATACATATATGTGGAGACCTAGTTCCTCATTTGGGGCAGTCTGATACTGAAGATGGGTATGCTCTAGCGGATGCTGTACATGATCTTTGTGCTTTTTATGTGGAAAAGCCTTGATTTAGTTGGGGCTTGCTGGCATCATGGTGGGATTCAAACCCATGACCCGAGAACATTAGCCTGGGTTTCTGGATGACTAGCCCAGTGATGTTACTGCTATGCCACAACCCACCCTCAATGGTGGCTTGCCCATTAATTGGCCAGTTTAATTGGCCTCAATTGGCTTAAGGGTAGACAGGCTTGTTCATGTCTTTTCAGTACTAGACTATGTTATGTATATTACAGGAAAGGTGGTGGTAAGGGTAACATTGCTAATTAATCCATTTCATTTTGGATTTTCAGGAACATATCCATGATATCCTACACCCTATTCCCATATCAGTTGGAGTACTGCTCAAGCAGTCAAGACGCAAGAAAAGGCAGGATTCTAACTTAATTGACTTGCTTCCTGTCCTTGAGAAGAGTGATCCCCAGCGTACAGAGGTTAGGGTTCAATTTATTGATTGTCTCATTTATATAGCATGTGGGTTTGTGGTTTCCTTCAATATACTCATTCTGCATTGCAAGCTGAAACCACAATTTGAGCTTTTTTGGTTACCTAACAAGCACTCTTACACTTTTAAGAGAAGAAAATTTTATTCTCTGGTGAATCTTTCCATATTTTAAATGCAAAAAAATCTTGCAATTCCGAAGTTTATGCCCATTGAAGTGGATAGCAAATCGTATTAGGTCGGTGTGATACTCCCTATAATTTGAAGTGCAAATGCAAATTACACAGGCAGAATTCTTTGCTTCTGTGTTCATTTAGTTTGGCTGTAAGCAGAGTTCACATTTGAGCACCATTATAGGCAGCTTCTCAATTTGTCGTGGGCTAGCCTGAGATTTCTGTTCACTGAATAGTTTCTGTAAGTGTGGTTCACGCAAATGTCATGGTTTCTCTAATTATTATTTTGATACAGGTTGAATTTTTGAAGGAAGGCTGTGGTACTGATGCCATTTGTAAGAGTAATCTCGAATTAGAATACGAATTTTGTTCCAGGGATCAAAACCAGCAGAACAATTTTATTCCTTTACCTAAGTAAGTCTTTAAATGACCAGTTGGGTTTTTTGTTCAACATTTAAACAAAGTGGTGAAATGGATCTATTTGGTTATTGTTAAAAGCTGTAATGATTGAAGTAAAACTTTTCATCTTAAGGTGTGTGAACTTGGTAATAGTTCACATATAGTTAAGTCAATTAACATTCACTTAGAAAAGGTTTTGGAGAAGTAAATAAAAAGAAGTCATGCTTTAACCTAAACAACCAAGAGTACTGCAGGTTTACATCTCCATAACTGAGAAGCTTTAGACTTGTTATTTAAATACAAATTCAAATGAACACCTGCATTTATTTAGCATCTTTCACTCATTAAAATATCCAAAACTGTGAAGCACTGAGCCATGTTGGCAACAATAGGGTAGTTGACCAAAAGTAAATGTTTCAGGAGTGACTTAAAGGAGGAAAGGGAATAGTGAGGAAATGAATAACTTAGAGTCCAAGTGGCTAAAGGCATGCTCATCATTAAAGGTGACTATAATCGAGGAAGTCAAAGAGGCCAGAATGAGAGAAACTCCGATATCTTGAAGCATCATGGGACTGGAAGAAATTAGAGCTAGGGTGGGCCTGGACCATGGTGCTTTTGAAAACAATGGTGAAAATTTTAAAATTGATGTCTCGTTTGAAGCTCAGCAAGTGTAAGGATAATAAGGGAGTGAGGAAGGATAGGGGCAATGGAGTTTTGGATGATCTCAAGTTTACCAAGGGTACCATATGGGAGCCCAGCCAGGAGTATATTGGAATAGTTCCAATGGAGGTAACAAAAACAAAGTTAGAAAATCTTGAAGTAGAACTAATTGGCCTTGGTCATGGTTTCAGGCTGTTAAATGTTTTGGTGAGTAAATGGAGATTGCAGTGGGGACTGAAGCCAATTGGTTCAGCAATGTTCTTTAGGTAAGGAAATCAACCAAACTTACCCTTTCTGGCTGAGATGTAACTCTAGACCTACAGCAATGTGGTAGATTCTTAACTATGGTGTCCACTCAGCAGACAGGGAGTCCTGAACACTGATTCTGGACCTCCTTGAAGTCTCATAACCTCAGTTCAGACATGGACAAAGAACTATGTTGCTGATACCACCTATTGCTTTCACTCAACTGATGGATCATTGCTCCACCATATTGATCACCAGTTCAAAGAGGGCTGATGATAACAAGGAAACAGACTGTATTCTGTGTGGGAGGTTTCTGTCACCAGTAGCAGCTTGGTAACACTTCACCTGGCTGAGCTGGCCAGTACTGGAGGAAAGTTCGGGCCTGCGGCAGGTGGTGAGAAAACCAACAAGAGGGAGAGACTGATTTGGGCTTGTTTTCACCAATCTAGCTGTCACAGATGTATCTTGGCATGACAATATTGTTTGGAGAGACCTTCCTTGTGCAAAAGACCTTGCTTCACACTGAGGATATGCTCCATTATATTTTGGCAAGACCACCATATGAAATGGGATAAATTCAGATTTGATATACTGTCTCAAAATTGGACTGGAATTGCATTTCATCACTCTAACTGCCAAATGCCTTGCTTTACCATCAAGGCTTAGGCCTTGTTAAATGAACATGCCAGGAACAGCCTGGGCATACCTAAAATGACATACCAACCTGGTGAAGCTAGAGCACAGGACTACTAATAAACAGAAAAAAGGTTTTTGAGAAGATTTGTAGCTTGGGTTGTTGATGCGATTGTTGACTTGCTCACCGAGCTGGTAAGTTTGTTCACAAATGTTTCGTCGTCATGCTAGGTAACATCATCAGTGCGCCTCCGGTGAAGTGTCGGTGTTCTGTCCCACTTGCTATTTATGTGCCTTGGTTTGTTGGGCTGGGTGGCATCACTTCAGGATTTGTTTCCTAGGTATTAGGTATATGGAAGTGATGCTACCCAGCCCAACAAACCAAGACACATAAATAACAAGCAGGACAGAACACCACTTCACTAGAGGTGCATTAATCATGTTACCTAGCATAGTGACGAAATGTTTGCAAACAAACATACTAGCTCAGCAAGCAAGTCAGCAACCACATAAATAGAAAAGCTACGTTGTTGATATTGACAAAGCTAAGCGATTTCCACAGCCATTGGATCAAATGGAAGCTCTGCAGTCCTTTTTAAGTAAAGTATAGCACTGGCAACAACCTGACAATGTGGAAAATTTCCAAACAATGTCCTCTTACAAAAAAAGCAGGATTAATTGAGCACAAATCTGTAGTGTGATGGAATATTCTCTACTTGAGCTGGCTGGATGCAGTAACATGACAAATATTCGAAACCATCCAGGAAATGGCAGCCCGTTTAGTTGGCTTCCCAATTACCACCTTAAATCTGCTCACCTTCTGCCACCACCACCTCTTGTGTAGCCATTTGCCAGGGATCTTTCTTAACAGCATCTTCCAAGCCACTTCTACAGTCAGAAGAACAACAGCAGCAGACATATGGATCACCAGCTGCAAGTTCTCTTCCAAGACTCACCTGTATTAACTTTGGAAATATGTCACCATTCCTGTACTGGGTCAAAATACTTGAATTGTCTTCCTAACAGCTCTGTGGGTGTAGCCGTGCCACAGACTGTGGTGATTTGGGAAGGCAGGTCACCAACAAATTCTCAAGAAGAGTTCAGAATTAGCAATAAATGCTCACATTTTCGGTTATAACCACTTTCCCAGTATGAATTTTCTTTAAAAATTGACATCAGTCTACTCAATACTTAAGAGTAAATTTCTGCACATGAAGTTCTGAATTTCTGATTTAGGTTGTGGAGCAGTGAAGAGGTAGCGAGGTGATGTTATGTATGAAAAGTAATGCTGTGTTTTCAGATGTCACTGAAGACAGCATGTAGATGAAAAATAGGAGAGCTCAAGCATAGATCAGAAGACACGAGGGTCACTAGAGGAATTGGTGCAGGATGAGATGTTATCAGTCGTGATATTTCTGGGTATGATTTAGACTGATGAATAGAACCAGATCCGCTAACCATGGGGAAGCACTTTTGGAGGATAGTCTGCCTCGATATGTCAAGAATCACGGTGTGGACAATTTAACTTCATCACATGAAATGTCATTTGTGGCTTTGATTAAGAGCTTTTCAAAACTGGGGCAGGACTGAAACTTGATATGAACAGATTCAAACAATTTAATAAATTCTTCTACTGTTCTGCTTCTTCAGGGATAAAACAATTCCAGTGTTTAAATTAAAGGACCAGAAGGACATAGTTCTAAAAATAACTGTTACTAACAAGCCATCAGATCCTAAAAAACCAGATGAAGACGGGGATGATGCACATGAAGCTCACCTGATTGCAACATTTCCAGACACTTTAACATACTCTACATTTCGAATTCTGACATCAACTTTAACTTCAGTAAGTGCTTAATTTCTTTCTCCAATAATTCCCTTTCTTCATCCCTGTGCTGAAGTTGCTGATCTTGTAGATCTGCAGGTGTATAGAGACATGACCCATTCAAGCTAACCCTGTGAGACAGATGGTGGGTGTGATTCAGTTTGGCATCTTTGGAGCCCAACATTATCAGCACCTAATGCCTTTTTAGGGATGTAAATCAACATCCAAAATGGAAATCCTGTCCTATTCCCTCCCAACCTTTGCTACTGCAAAATAATTCAGCAAATCGTACATGTCCAAGTGGAAGCAGTTAGCTCACCCTGAACATGTCCGTTTCTAATCTATTTCATCAAGCGTTATACACAGCAGTACTTTAATCAAACAACCCAATAGGAGAGCTAAATTCTTCTTAATTGGTGTCTCTTTTCTGTACCTACTTATTTGCTTATTTATTGTGAAATTTACAGACATTTTACACACATATGGCATTGTTTTTAAATTAGGACAAAGTATCATGCACAGCAAATCAGAATGGGTCTCGAGCAGTCTGCGAATTAGGAAATCCATTAAAAAGAGGATCTGAGGCAAGTTATTTTTCACTTCAATTTGTTAGTCAATTATGTATATAACTTGTTTATACTTCCTAAGTGTAAAATTGATAAATTAACATCAGCCCGTTTTCTGAATTAATTTACTTTGCACAAGGCTCTGATTTGTCTTGAACATAACTCTAATATGGTAGCCATTTTGGTTTTAGGTTACTTTCTACTTAGTTATGAGCACTGCTGGAATTACATTGGACACTAGGAACCTCAATATCAATCTACAACTGGATACGTAAGGCCAACTTAACATTTCTATTTTATTTAAATTAATATATATTTAAAATTGCAGCTGCTGAAGAGGCAATAACATCTTATAAATAAGGAGCATGGATAGGCAATTTCTGCCCTTCAAGTCCGCTCTGTCATTGCAAATCTGGTTGTTTCCTCAAATTCCCTACCCTGATAGATTTTCATCAACTTGTTTAAAACAAAAATTAATCCACTTCGGCCTTTTAAGTATTCAAGGATTCTTCTTTCTCCACCTTTTCAGGAAGTGAGTTTCAAAGATTTATTCCATCTGAGAGAAAATTCTTTGCCACTGCTCTGTTTTAAATGGGTGACCCCTGATATTTAAACAGTAGTCTCTAGGTCTTGATCATCCCATAAGAGAAAACTTCTTCTCTACATCAGCCCCATCAAAATTCCTCAGGGTTTTGGATGTTTCAATCAAGTCACCCTAATCTCCAGCCTTGCCTCTCCGACCTTTACCTTATGAGACAACTGCCCATTTTATATATGAGTCTGACAAATCTTCTCTAAATTGTTTCCAATCCATTTACATCCTGCCTTGAATGAGGAGACCAATAGTGTACACAGTACTCCACATGTGATCTCACTAGTGCCCTGTTTAACTGATGCATAACCTCCCTACTTTTGTATTCCATTACCCTCAAAACATTCTGTTAGCTTTCTTAAATACTTGCTGTTTTAGCATATGCACATTTTATAATTCATGCACAAGGACACCAAGATCCCTTTGCTCATACATTTCATGAACACCAGATAAGAGCATAAAGTATTTCCTGAAGAGATAACTGAATAATGACCAGAAATGGGAACCCACACCAGGTTACTAAGATAGCCACGGCCATTTAGCTCCACCAAGCATCAACAAATTTAAACCTCAACTTGTGATCTTCCTAATTACCTCTGCCCTGATCAGCAGAACTATCAAAAAGCCAACTTTAATATTTTGATTGATCAATTATTTTGTAATTGAGACTTTAATTTCCATTTACAGGACCAGTGAACAGGCGAATGTGTCAACAATTGCTTCTGCTCAAGTTATGATTGAACTACTTTTGTCTCTGGTTGGGTGAGTAAAGTGTCCTGCTTTCTGTCCTTTTGGAATGAATATATTCTTTATTGTGTCTGTGTGGTGTGTAGAAAAAGTAAATAGTATAAACATTGAAGCATAAGTAATGTCATTTGTTTTAACAGTGTTGCCAAACCATCCCAGGTTTATTTTGGAGGTTCCCCACTTGGTGAGAGTGCTATGAAAACTGAAGAGAATGTAGGGAGTTTGATTCAGTATGAGTTCAGGGTAAGTGTAGCAACATCGTTAAAAATAAGTTTCCTTAATATTTTAGATGTCAAATAACGTGTAAAATATTGTTAGTTTAAAACCTTGCCTAAAGACTGACTGTAACTCGTTAAACGATGAAAAGCATTATATTGATTTACACTTCAAATGTTTTCTTTCCCCACAGATAATTAATCTGGGCACATCACTTAAAACTCTGAACACTACCTGGCTACAAATCAGGTGGCCAAAAGAAATAAACAATGGAAAATGGCTGCTCTATTTGGTGAAAATTGATTCAAAAGGCATTGGTAATATTCAATGCGTGCCTAGTAATGAAATTAATAATAGAAAATTAAAGGTAATTTATAGTTGGCTTTTAATTCAAAGCTGAAACTGACTTACAGGGTTATTGTGTCTTATGTTGTAATATAGCATTGCTTTCTTGATGAGTTCTGCTGTCACTAACATCAAGTTGGGTGTTTCTCATACAAACAGCCCAACGTGTATTTAGATATTTTTAAGTAAGCAATCTGATTTACGGACAGTATTCTTCTTTTCACAGAAGCCAGCATTTAACTGTTATTTGTTTGTCCTTTCCAAAAAGAAGTTAATAGCAAGGGGGAGGAAACATGTTAACACAGGGGGAAGAATGAGAAACAAGTATTGTGACACATTGACGTAGAGTGTGTTTACATAGTTTTCGTCATGCAGATATTTACTCTCCTGTCACTAAGAACATTGGCAGAGGAGAATGGTCTTCTAGTACCTCTCTCATGTAGCTGTTCTTTCTGAGACATGTAATTTCTAGCAATGAGCACCATGATCAGGCTCAGAAATGCTAGTGTAGTTTTTTTCCCCTCAATTTCTAGCTGGGAAGTGAAGTGTTTATAGAGTCCTAAGTACTACATCAGCTGAGATCAGTTAACGCAGCACAATTTGGGAATAAAACCTCAATCTTTGTGTCCTGGTTAGGTCACAGATATACGTTTCTATTGACAATATCTATTTGCAGACATAATTCACTGATTATTGTGTGATTTTTGTAACCTATATGAATTACTTTTATTTCAGGAAGTTCCTAACCAAATAAGGAAAAGAAGAGAGCTTGAGGGCAATGGACCCAAGAAGTCAAGATTAACATCCTCTCCTGAAAGAAAATATATAACTCTAGTAAGTGCAGATATGGATCCAAAACTTTTGTTTCAAAATTCTTTTCATTCCAAAACTGACTGAGACTATGTAAACATTCTACAGGATTGTGACCGGCAGAAAAATACTAGATGTGTTGATATAAAATGTCCCCTTCAAGGTCTTGATAGCAGTGCATTCCTGGTTTTACGTTCACGGTTATGGAACACCACTTTCCTAGAGGTAAATATGAACCTGAATAGTGATTGCTAGTCTTTTGTATATGTGAGCTTTTAAAATTATTTTTTAATGCAATCCTGTGTTTTTAATATACTTTTCATTATTTAACAGGAATTTTCCAAATTGAATTACCTTGATATCATTGTTAAAGCCACGATAACTTCTGAATCTCAGGCCAAAAACATTGTGATTAATAATGCTGAAACTGAGGTAATTTACTTGTGACTAAGAAGAAAGTAAAGGTACAGACTTTTGCTGTGCTATCTTGTATTAATTTTAATTATTATTAAATGAGTAAAATAACTCATTAGTTTCTTGAGCTAAGTGCTGCCTTGGCACTGTGGCACACTGACAAGTTACCGACTTTGTGTGCCTGTCTTTCTCTGTGCTCCAAGGAGTCCAAGTGACCCTTGATTTGAAACTGCACAATTCATATCAGCCAAACTAAAAATCAGCAAGATCCAAATTCTAGCAGAGACTCGATTCCTAGGCTGCAGTTTGTGAGACACTTCACTGTTATGTAAATTGGATGTAGAGAAAAAACAGAAAATCTTTTGGACAAAATAAAATTCCCATGGTTTAATTTAAACAAAATGTTATATGGGATAAATAACGTTTGTGATCACCGATTAATACTGAATTGGATTGAAGGTGTGTTTGAAAGATGTCACCTGGCTTACATTTTATGTTCATTAGAACATTAAGGAACGATGGCAAGTACACAATAGACATATTAATTCCATTGTCCACTGTGGGTAAACGTCCGGGATGCATTTGACAGTTCCAACATAGTAAATTTGTAAAGAAAAGGGTTAATTCCAGGATAATTAACATGGACTTGTAAAAGCAGGACATAACATCATAGAGATCTTCAGCACAGAGAAAGGCCCTTCAGCCTATTGCGTCTGCTCTGGTCACAAACAACCACCAAACTATTCTGAACCCATTTTCCACCACTTGCCCAAAAGCTTTGTAAGACTTGACATCACAAGTGCACATCTCAGTACTCCTTAAATGTTATGAGGGTTTCTGCCTCTACCATCCTTACAGTCAATGAGTTCCAGATTCCCTCCACCCTCTGGGTGAAAAAGGATTTTCCTCATGTGTCCTCTAAACATCTGCCCCTCACATTAAATCTATGACTCCTGGTCATTGATCCCTCCATCACCAAGAAATGTTTCTTCCTAATCTACCCTATCTATGCCCTTCATAATTTTATATAACTCAACCTCTGTTATAATGAAAACAACCCCAGTCTGCCCCAGTCTCTCTTCACAACTGAAACTCTCCAGCCCAGGCAGCAACCTGGTGAATCTCCTCTGCACCCTCTCCAGTGTTACCACATCTCTCCTATAATGTGGATTCCAGAAATGCACATAATATTCTAGCTGTAGTACAGGAATGACGTATTTTTGTCTGAGTATGTCTACATTTCATGTATGTGTGAATCCAATAAAAGATGTTTCATAAATTGGGGTATTCAGAGATCATAACCGTATGGATAGGGAGCTGGCTAGGATATAAAGTTTGTGCAAAGACTTGGTGGCTTGGGCCCAAAGTTCTGAAATTGCCTCCATAATGGCTCTGCCTCTCCTCCTTTTAAGATGGTCCTTACAACTCACACACTTGTTTGTGTTCACCTGCTGTAAAATCTCTTTCTGGTTATTTGTTTCTTTTTCCTCCTTATTTTCTTTCATCATGTCCCTGTAAAGTATCTTGGAATGTTTTACTATATTGAATATGCCTATAAATGAAAGTGTAGTTGTTTCTGTAGGATGTAGGTCACGACATAGGTTAATCTATCTATTAGGATCACTTTTGTTTGCTAATGATATAAATTATTGGAAAAAGGATTATATTGAAGCTTGCTAATGCCAAATTTGAGTGGATGGCCAACTCTGAGGGAGAATGACAGGAGGGCATTCAGCCTGGGAATGTGGATAACTAGGTGACCAGTTATGCATGGAAAAAACGTTATTTCCTTTTTCAAGAAAGGAAGTCCATTCTTAAAAAGTGATGCTTTTTAAAGTGAGTTACGAAAGTTTTAGTAATTCAGCAAGTGTTTTTTTATTTCTATATTGAATATAAAAATAAAGGGGTGATGTTGAGCTGCTTAACATAGTGAATAGATTACAGTTGGAGTCTAGTGTGCAGTTCTGAGCATCCCAGAGTGAGGAGTGACATTAAAGCCATCATAAAGAAGGTAGGCCAGATTAGTAGCAGTTCAGAATGAAAATACAAAATGGTGGAGTTATTTCATACAGAAATTTCAAGGATGATCAAACAGTAATTTACAAGGTTATGAAAGATTTTGAACAAGTAAATTGTGAAAGATTTTTGCTACTAGTTAGCGAGTAATTGACTGAGGACAACAACTAGAAGAATAAAGGGGAGAAGTTAGAATGTTAATGCGTGTGAAGACAGTTTCAAGTATGTGGGTAGCTCCTGCTATAGCTTTGAAGATCACTATGGTGTTAAGCTACTAAATAAGATGTTTCTAGATCAGTGAAAAGACATCTGCCAGATAGGGCCCTCTGCTGACAATTCCACGAGAAACAGTAGTTGATGGATATGCCTTTCTCACTTTTTGCCCGATGGGTAAAGCCACACAATATTCGAACGTTGCATCCTGAATTTCCATGTAGTTCTCTCAATCACATGCAGGCAATTTCAATTGTACAGTAGGCCAAAGAGCATATGAAGTAGACACAAGTGGAGTCTCCCACATTGGAAGATGTTTAATTTACTTATAAAACATTTCCAGTTGATTTTAAATTAATGAATACAATGACAGATGGTCAATTGTGTGTCTTTATAAAAAAAAACTGAGATGCAACTTTGTTACTCTGTTCTTTCAGGTGCGAGTCACAGTGTTCCCTGAAAAAGCTGAGAATCATTACTTTGGAGTTCCTTGGTGGATCATTTTTGTCGCTATCCTGGTTGGAATTTTGCTGTTGGCACTTTTAGTATTTTTATTATGGAAGGTGAGTGGCACTAAGGATGATGCAAGCAGAGCTAATTTCAAAGAAATTTGGTTTGCAACCTCTTGCTGATTCATCAAACCCACATGTGGTTGGGAGGGTACAGCTTGAACTTGTAAAAAATGTAAAGGTTTCAGCACACCAAGCCTCTGGTTCAGTAGATTGTATTTGTCTATCCAGGATACATGGCAGGGCACAGCTTTATTTCATCCTAAGTTTTCCATTTATCATTCTTCATGTTTGAGCTTTGACAGTGAGTTAAGGCATTACATTCATTCAGGAAGACCATCCCAGCTCTGCCTGATTTTTGTCCTCATCTAAAACTTTCCTGAATGTGTACTCTCCCAAAAAAGGTCACTTGGTGGCAGCTGCAAGCATGAGCCATGACTGGCTTTCTTCCTTCCAAACTTAGGAGACCCCTATTCAGATACTGTGCCTGAGAAAAGCTAACTTCACTCAGGCTGAGCTTTGAACCTGGCATCTCTCTGGTGTAACTTGATGTTAATATTTTCTGAGCATTTTTCTGCCTCTTGAAGTGCTACCTGTACATTGGACCACTGTTCCAAGAATGGGGGTGGCTCTCTGGTCTTTCATTTAAATGACATTTGTAATCCCAGACAACAGTGTTTGTTTGCTGGAGGGTATCATAGCTGAACCTGTCCTACTCTTACCCTATACCCACAAATATTTATTCCAACAGAGTTTACAGGATTCTAATTCAGTAAGATCCTTGTCTGATATTATAAAAGTTTTTACATAAATTGTCTTAGCTCAGTTTTTTTTTTAATGGGTGCAACACAGGACATGGCTAGTTGGGTCATTAGGTTTGTGTTGGCAATATGGCATATTCTTTCAATATGCTTTGTCATGATCCATCCGGTAATCTTCTCCCAGTCTTCTCTAAGAAGATCATCCTCAGCTTCTCCAATCTAAGCACTTAACTGAAGCCCTCATCCCTCTGAATTAACCTTTTATTTCTTTGTTTTTGCCTGTTCTTGTGATACATTTTGGTAGGAAGAACATCAAATTTCTTTACATTAAACCTAATTTGCCACCCATTCCACCAAAATTGTCTGTCTTCTTGAAGCCTATCACTCGGTTACCCACTGTTCACTATACTTAAAAGTTTTGTATCTCAAGTTCCATTTTTCTATTCTAAAATCTGCAGATTGTACCCAGCACATTAAAGTCTAAATCATTAAAATACATTCAGATTAACAGTGATCCTGGTACTGACCCCTTGGGAACTTGATTGTATATACAGTCCTGCCAGATGAAAAGCAATTGGTTACCACTGCTCTGATTCCTGTCACACAGCCAATTTCCAAAACATGCTGATACTTTGTATTTCATGGGTTCATGGTGACAAAATTATTATGTAGCACTTTATAAAATGTTTTTTGGAAGTTTACATAAATCACTCATTAATTAATCCACAGGTATTCAAGCAACTGTCGGTTTTATCCCAATTCTTGTTTCTAAAACATTTTTCTGTAGTTGCTGGATTTAACACAACACCTTTTTATTTGAGCAAAGGTATAACATTTGCAGTTCTCCAGTCTTCAGGCACATTCAGTGCATCTTTGAAGGATTGAAAGATAATAAAAAGCACCTCTTTAATTTCCACTTCTGCTGACATCCTCAAATGCAACATAATTCATCCTGGTGACTTAGCAACTTACAGTAGACCCAGCCCATCTAATATTTTCTATTTATCATTTTTTAACCCATTCAGTATCTCGAGCACCACCTCTTTCATTATGATTTTATCAGCGTTAACTTCCTTGGAATGAAATACGAGCAAACTACTTACTTAGTACATCAGCAATGTCCCCTGTCTCCATGCATAATAATCCTTATTTTCCCCACACACCCCAACTTACTACCCATCAACTATATATAAACTTATGGAAGACTTTTGAATTCTATTTTGTATTAGCTGCAAGTTGTGTTCTGTTTTTTTTAAACTTATCCTCTGAATTCTTTAGATTCAGTCTGGCTCTCTTAATTTATAAATACATCATGGGTATGTACTTATACTGTACATGAACCACCTTTTTAAAGGTAGCCCATTTTTCAGCAGAGATTTGTTGATCAGTCATTGCTTTCAACTCATCCAAGACAAATCCATTCTCATCTAATGAATATTTAGTACCCTGTCCTATCCCTTTTTTTGAGTTGCCTGTTATCACTACAATGTCGTATTCCTGTACAGTTACCTATGCCTACAGTTCACCAATCTTCCATACCAATGCCTGTGCATTCACATGCATCCACCACAAATAATATAGACTTTATTGTACTCTGTGTTAATCTTTGCCCACTTGATTTCTTACTGTAACGCAACGTGTTTCTCCCAATCTTTTGTGAACTTGCGTTTTCCTTTGGAATTCTATATTCTGGTTCCAGTCAGCTGTACCAACTTAGTTTAAACCCTGGCAAACTGCCCTGGAAGGACATTGGCCTGGTTCTGTTGAGGATGTAGGCCAGTGTACACCTAGACTTTCCTCGAGCTGGACTTAGTGACCTAGGAATCTAAAATCCCCCGCTTCACCATTTCTTGATCTGGCACTTGGCAGTGGGATCAATTCAGAGATCACTACATTTGTGATCTTTTGGATTAATCTTGTGCCTTGCTCTCTAAACTCTGCCCAGAAGACCTTGTCTCTCTTTCTACCTATGCTATTGATACTCCATATGGGCCATTACTCAGAACTGTTCACAACAGCACCAGCTGCACCCACCACCCCACAACCACTTCTTCAGATGCACTGCATTCTCTGTGATATTCTTGACCCTGACACCGGACATACAAGAAACTATTCTAGATTCATGTGTTTTCTCACTTAACTATCGAATCCCCAATTACTATTGTTTGTGTGTCTTTTCCCCTACTGCCCCTGCTCTCCCATGGTTCCTCAACAGGTGCCATGTGTGATGCCACAGACTTGACTGTGGCTTCACACCTCACAGGAACCTTTTTCCCTCATCAACGTTCAGAATTGAATATCAATTGGAAAGTGAGATGCACTCAGATGAACTCTACACCACTTGCTTCATCTCCCATGATGATCTGGTGGTATCCATTCTTTCTCTGCCTGTGTTCTGTGAAGCTGGGGCTGAACACACCCAGAAATGAGCTATTCAAGTGGCTGTTGGCCTCAAGGATATGCTGCAGTGGTGCCAGTTGGTGCTCAAGCTCTGAAACTTGAAGCTTTAGCTCCCCTGGCTGATTTCACTTCCTACATACATGATTGTCCACAACATGAGAAGAGTTTCCCCCTGGAACAGAATGTGCATCTGGCAAAGCTAAGGTATCCCGCCATGACTCTACATACTAACCTTAAAAAGAAACTTAATTTATAACTCAACTTCACTATTTTTCACCAAACTTAGTTATTCAAGTTCATTATCTTTAGATCCTTGGATCATGATCAAGGCTAAGTATTGATCAATGATCCATTTGATTCTGTTACTCTGTGCACACTGCATTCAGTTTCACTAATTCAGGACAGAGATGGAACCTTCTGGTTATGGTTCCTGATTAATTCCTTTGTTCACTAGGATATGAGGTGGGGTGGGGGAGTTTATTCTTTACATATCTCATTGAGTTGTGTTGTAAACCTTTTCATCTGGAGCTTGATACTGAAAGATTTTTAACATTTGGTTAGATTTTTTGATTAGTATTTTACTGAATCTTGTTAACAGTCCCAAAAAATTTCTACAGCAGACGAACCTACTAATCTCTTGAGTACAATGTACAGGGACCTCAAAGATTCCTTGAATACCGTAATCAATTCAAATAAGAAATGCATTTTAAAACCTCTGATGAGTGTGTTCCGAAACAGCATGTGTTTTGTATAACTGCACCCACGTTACCATTAATTGTGCAGCTTTTCACATTAGGGTGTACTGTTAACTGGCGTTTTAAAAAATCATGATATTACACCACTTGTTTTCTTGTAGCTTGGCTTCTTCAGGAAAAGCAGAAAAGCTTCTCACAATGATCCTTGGTATTCCAAGGCTGAGATCTCCGTTCAGCCGTCTGACAAAGAAAGACTTACTTCTGATGCATAATGTTGACTCACTTCCCTCATTAATTGGTAAATAGACCATTGGTCTCTGATTCACAGCTTGGAGGGGCATGGGTGTGTGGAGCTTGGCATCATTTTTACTCCCTGTTTACTTCAAAGGGAGACACAAATGCACAGCATTAACATCTAATCAAATCCTTTCTCCATCACTGAGTTGCTTTATGATGTTGGGCTTTGGCAATGGGGAGAATATAAAGTTGACATGGCATTCAAATAAATGAGAAAACATTTTTTTGGTTACATGAATTACCATCTATACTCTCTTTAGTGGCATATTTATTCAGCTAGTTTTAACACGCAGTCATTAAAAAATCTGAATTTACAATGTTATTCTTCACAAAGGATATAGAGAAAATTAAATAATATGTTACACACTAGACATGTAATATAAAGCTGCTATTAAATTAATTCAGACATCTGGTACTTGCGTGTTGATTGCAGCCTATCAATGACCTTTTGCATGGAAACTTCCTGTGTGGGAAATAGTGCTTTCTCTTCAGGCCACTGGAAATGGGAGCTTTCATTCTTCGGTTCTTTTGCGGGTTCCAGCTTTCAGAATTTATATCAGAAAGATCTTTCTTTACGTCTCCTCTGTTGCTATTTGGAATGCTGCGTACAGAACTGATAAATTTGCTGCATGTCTATATTGCATGTTTTGTAATGGGCTTTAACAAAGAACCTTTTTGACCTTGAATTATTGTTTGAGATTCATTGATTGTTGGTCAGATATTTATAGTCTGTATTTCTTTCCTTTCATAAGTCAAAATATAGGGCTGAGTTCGAAGGCAGGAGCGTGTGTAAATGTGTGCTGTTGGCTACCGTATCCATTTGCCAACTCCACCCCACTCCAGGTTCATTTTCCAGGAAGTGGCTGGGAGGTGCCGTGCTATACCACGCACTGCACGGGTAGCTCTTTGAAAACATTGTTGGAGAGTGACTGAACTTAGCCAGTTGCCTTCTAGGTTCCTGGGTACATTTGGAAACAGCATAGTTGTCTGGAGGCAGTTATCCAGCAGTGAACTGGAAAGTGGCCATCACTTTAGACAAACCTAGAGGTCATCTCTGGTTTCAGCTTTAGCCACAGGCTGTCCTATAGCCTGACTGTTAAGGCAATTTTCTTCCTCACCCTACTTTAAAGCTAAAAAAGTTAGAGAATAGGTGCAAAAAAACCAAAGAACTGCAGATAATGGAAATGAAAAAACTAGCACCTGTAGAGAGAAAGCAGAGTTAACAATGAGTCCAGTGACCCTTCAGAACTGTTCTTCAGTTCTGAAGGAGGGTCTCTGGACCTGAAACATTAACTCTGCTTTCTCTGTACAGCTGCTGCCAGACCTGTTGAGTTGTACCAGCAACTTATGATTTTGTTAGAGAATGGGTGCTTCTGTTTTGGGTGTCCTCTCCCTCATTTACCTGAAAAGGCACTCTGTTGTTTTTCAGTGCTGGCAAATGTACTATTGGCCGTCCAACTTCACAATCCCACCCAGTAGCTTTAATTCAATGGTGAACCTCCCTTTGTCATTCATTGCCAATTCAGTGCAAGTCAAAGCTAGGTTTCTGACTCCTATTTGACCTCAACAATATGATCCTAAAACTCATAGGAAACGTCTTGTCTGAAGTATTTTAGAAATGAAACTAAATTTTCTAGAGTCATCGTTGCAGTAAGACCTTGGAAAAGCAGGACACTGCAGGATGCCAGTTACAACGCTTCAGTTACGATTCTGGCTACAAGCAGTGAACTCCACACAGACCAAGAGTCAAACCTGTGACCCTCTACCTTGTATTCTTTTGTATTAAAGTTACTTTCTAAAAAGTTGAAATGGCACAGTGGTTAGCACTGCTGCCTGACAGTGCTAGGGACCCAGGTTCAATCACACCCTTGGGCGACTGTCTGTGTGGAGTTTGTACATTCTCCCTGTGTCTGTGTGGGTTTGCTCTGGTTCTCTCCCACAGTCCAAAGATGTGCAGGCTAGGTGTATTGGCCATGCTAAATTGCCCGTAGTGTTGAGTAGGTGGATTACAGGGGGACAGGTTGGGTGGGAACCTCTGAGGTTCAGTGTGGACTTGTTGGACCAAAGGGCCTGTTTCCTCACTGTAGGGATTCTGTGAAAACAGTTCTATTCTATGAAGATTAAATTTCTGCTAATTGTTTATGCTATTTGGTTATTCCTTAGCAGATGACAAGCTCCTGTAAGTGACTGACACAAAATGTTTTATTTCTGTGGTGGTATCTCAATTAGAATATGTCTGTAGAGGGTTGGCGTGCCTCCAGTCAGAGGATACAGTACTTTAAGCAATTAATTCTTCTAATTCCCATATTTTCCCATTTTATAGTGTGGATTTTTTAAACACTCCCATTATGATGACAGTGTTCCACGCTACCATGCAGTCCGAATCAGAAAAGAAGAACGACAAACCTTTCAGGATGGAAAATTGAACAAGAAATTTGACAAGAAACAATGGATGACAACATGGCAGGAAAATGAAAGCTACTCCTAAGAACCATTGTCTTTGTATTGTTAAAATTATTGAATTTAGTATGCCATAGTAACACATACTATGTTGCTACTGCATTACTGTGCATTGATTTCTCTTCAATTGTCTAAGAATGGCCCTTGATTACAGAGATTTTTGTAGTGCAGCCCATACCACAGTGTGGCTGCCCTTCTTATCCTTAAATACAACCAGAATGCTTTCTGGATTGTATGGATTTTAGACCACATGGTCTAAGAAGTTTTGGTGGGTAAGATTTGCCTTGCACACCAAGTCTCCAGCAGTATGGGATTGAATTGGTATCTGCTCCAGCATATAGGTGTGAAAAAACTTGGAATTTCATTCAGTAACATTTGGTCCTTGCCATTTTAAATTTTAAATAATGTGCAATAGTCAACTGTGCAACTGACTATTGATTTTCATTGATGAATGTGTTTCAGTATTGCCAGGACCCAGTTTGTGTGTTCAGAAATGAGTCAACATTTTGAGATGGGATTGATTTTCAAACAAAGAAATTGTACATTTTGTAAATAGTTATATATTTTAGTGTGTCCTGGTATTTATTTTGTCATAAATTGTGTCCTTTCACTAATCATTAGTTTGGCCATAGATGGCTAAATTTCCCTTCAGGGATAATAAAAATGTTCTGGATGTGACTTGAGTGAAAAAGATTTAATATCTAGAGAAAGTGCTGACTAATTTTGTCTTTGCTTAGCTTTATACTGGGTTAGTTTTGCCTCCCATATGGTGCTGAAAAGAAATGAAAAAACACTTTAATGAGCTTGCTAAGTTTGTTTAAAATTGGCCTGGTGCAGCATTCAGTGGTTGTATGGTCAAGTCAAAAAGTAAGTAATTTGTTTCTTCCCAGACCTGAATATAAGTATTCCTCTGTCTATAAAATTAAAGGAAAGATCTCAGACAAAACTTTAATTTTATGTACAGAAGGTATATACTCTCAATTAGTAAGCTTGAGGAAAGGGACAAATATGAAAGAATACTGTAATGAAGTTTATTATTTGAGAGCATGAATATAATAAATAAGCTGCATAGGAGGAAGAAGAGAGGATGGTATGGGAGTGAAGAGAATAGAGCATTTGCCAAACTAGCTGCAATTACTAACCATGGCAGTGGGTCTAGTATAGTAATCAATCAACTCTTCTAGGTATGAAGAACGAATGCAAAAACAGAAGTTCAACACTGGGTGGAAGTGGGGGGAGGTAAGAAAGGGACACAGCATTGCCATGAAGAACTGTGAGGACTGTAAGCTACTTGCCAGGGTCTAATAGCAGAAAGGACAACTAATCTCACTTCTGTACCGGAGAGCTTGCAGGCACCCACTGTCACCCAGGTTGTTTGTTTGTCTTTCAAGTAACTGAAGCTTCCTTTTCTACATAGTCTGCTAAAACACTTGGGATGAATTCCTAGTTTTGAGGTTTCTGCTACTTTTAGAATCCACTTTTCCCTTGTGCTTTGAACTTCTCCAGAACACTTTTAGATTTGCACTACTGCAAACGTAGCTGATAGCTTAAAACAGTTGGGTGCCTACTTAGCCAACTGGCGAGCGGCACAAAATACAAAAGAACTGTTACCCATATATGTGGCTAAATCAGGTCGTTTTACACCAGAACTGGGCATCTCATTTTATTATGGACCCACAGCAGGTATTAGCCCAGGCACTGGGACTATTACAACAGAATTCTGTATGATGGCTGCAAATGACATGAATGTTCTATATGTGCCACTGTTGGAAAGGATTTTATATTAGCTGTTATTTAGTATGAGCTGTGGTATTTTGAGGTTTTGGGATTTGACCTGTATTATCTTTCCTTTTGTACAACTAAAGTCAGGTGTAGCCTGCATAATTCCTGTTAGTAGTGCAGGTATCACCACTGAGTCATGTCCGTAATGGTGAGTTACAGCTCAAATAAGTCTTTTCTTAGCTTTTACAGAACCTCTATTAACGTGTCTCTGTGCCAGTAGTGTTTTTTGAATTTGTTTTGTAACTGCTGTATTCTTCATGTGTAGGTGGGACTAGTTTAGTTTGGGGTTGTGTTCAGCATGGACTGGCTGAACCAAAGGGTCTGTTTCCGTGCTGTATGGTTCTATGACTCTATTTGTTTTGTATTCATATTTTCTGCAATATTCATGCATTTTTAATTTAATAAGTTTGCAACATGATGCATTTTTTCCTATTTCATATCATCTTCCCTGTCTCAGAGAAATCTAAACCCATTTCTAAACTGCAGTGGTTCCCAGTACATTTGGGCACAGTTTCATTAAGTACATTTTCAAAAGTTAACAAGGTGTGGAGCTGGATGAAAACAGCAGGCCAGGCAGCATCAGAGGAGCAGGAAAGCTGACGTTTTGGGTATGGACTCTTCTTCAGAAATGAAAAAGAATTTTCAAAAGTTGATTGGCTTACAAATATTCCACACATCCTTTCCCCAAGTAAAATTGACTGAAAACATCACATTCTCAAGTATCTTCAGTTTCTGTGTCTTTCTATAATTTCTTACTAGCTTGTGATTTCAGTTAAAGGACATTTTTATGAAACAGAACAAAATATAGTCTCACATTTGTTATGTATCTCGTGTAAAAGGCATGGTAAGACAGCACTGATTAGTTTCAGCACAGGGTCTTCTTGAGAAAGAGTAAGGTTTTGAAAGTTGGTTTTGGTTCAAAAAGGCACTAATTATTAGGTGCAGATACTTTAATTTTTTGCATGAGTCTTATCATTTCATAGGTCTGCATTCAAAATACATATTAAGAAATTTAACTTTATTCCAGTTTAATATGTGATCTAACACTTCACATCATTCCACAAATAAATGTTTTTCTTCTAGTTTTTGCTTCTCTTTGCTGCAGTATGATTCAATCATTGCTAGTCACTTCCTCTGAGGTATGTTGCCCTACAGGTCATTCCTTATAGCAATTATTTATATTAGTTTCTTGGTAGAGCAAAGCTTAAACATTGCTAAAAAGAGACAAAACGTTGAAACGTTTTGTAGTCATCAGGAACAAAAAGCAAGAAAAGAAACCAGAAGCAACAACGTATGCAGCGTGAGAAGTGGTTACTGTTTAATTTGACTAATCCTAGCATGAGATGCAATAACACAGTTAACGGATAAAAATTCAAACCAGGCAATTCGATTCTGATAGTCAGGGTGTTGCTATGAGAATGTAGCAGGAATTGGCTGTGTCCATAGCACCCTTCTCTCTGAAAGGCAATTTTTACAAATTTAATATGGCAACTATTACATTGGGGTGTAGGGTTTTTTAAAAAAAATTTTTGCAGGATGTCGGCATCACTGGCTGGCCAGCATTTATTGCCCATCCCTAATTGACCTTGAGGTGGTGGTGGTGAGCTGCCTTCTTGAACCGCTGCAGTCCACCTGCTGTGGGTTGACTGACAATGCTATTAGGGAGGGAATTCCAGGATTTTGACGCAGCAACAGTGAAGGAACGGCATTATATTTTCAAGTCAGGATGGTGAGTGGTTTGGAAGGGAACTTGAAGATGGTTGTGTTCCCATTTATCTGCTGCTCTTGTCCTTTTAGATGGAAATGGTAGTGGGTTTGGAAGGTGCAGTCTGAGGATCTTTGGTGAGTTTTAGCAGTGCATCTTGTAGATAGTTCAAACTGCTGCTTCTAAGCATCGGTGGTGGAGGGAGTGGATGTAGCGCCAATCAAGCGGGCTGCCCCAAGGATGGGATGGCACGGTGTCTCAATGGTTAGCAGTGCTGCCCAACAGTGCCAGGGACCTGGGTTCGAATCCAACCTCAGGCAACTGTCTGTGTGGAATTTGCACGTTCTCCCCGTGTCTTTGGGCTTCCTCTGGGTGCTCTGGTTTCTTCCCACAGTCCAAAGATGTGCACGTTAGGTGGTTCGGCTATGCTGTTCAGGGATGTGTAGGTTAGGTGCATTAGCCATGGGAAATGCAAGGTTACAGGAATAGGGTAAGGGGATGGGTCTGGGTGGGATGCTCTTCAGAGGGTCGGTGCGGACTTGTTGGGCCGATTGACCCTGTTTCCACACTGTGGGAATTCTCTGATAAGCTTCCTGAGTGTTGTTGGGGCTGCACTCATCCAGGCAGGTGGGGAGAATTCCATCGCACTCCTGACTTGTGCCTTGTAGATGGTGGATAGGCTTTGAGGAGTCAGGAGGTAAGTTACTCACTGCAGTATTCCTAGCCCCTGACCTGCTCACCATGTTATGTGGTGAGTCCAGTTGAGTTTCTGGTCAATGATAACGCCCACGATGTTCACAGTGGGGGATTTGGAAATGGTAACACCACTGAATGTCAAGGGGCAGTGGTTAGATTGTCTCTTATTTGTGATGACCATAGCCAGGCATTTGTGTGGCGCGAATGTTACTTGCCACTCGTCAGCCCAAGCTTATATATTGTCCAGATCTTGTTGCATTTGAACACAGGCTGCTTCAGTATCTGAGGAGTTGCGAATTGTGCTGAACATTGTGCAATCATCAGCGAAAAATCCTCATTTCTGACCTTCTGATGGAGGGAAGGTCAATGAAGCAGCTTAGGGTGGTTGGGCCTAGGACACTACCCCAAGGAACTCCTGCAGAGATGTCCTGGAGCTGAGATGATTGGCCTCCAACAACCAATGCCATCTTCCTATGTGTCAGGTATGACTCTAACTACTACAGAGTTTGCCCCCTGAAACCCATTGATTCCAATTTTGCCAAGGCTCCTTGATGCCACACTGGGTCGAATGCAGCCTTGATGCCAAGGGCTGTCACTCTTAACTCACGTCTAGAATTCAGCTCTTTTGTCCATGTTTGAACCAAGGCTACAATGAGATCAGGAGCTGAGTGGCCCTGGTGGAACCCAAACTGGGCGTCACTGAACATGTGCTGCTTGATCACACTGTCAATGATACCTTCCATCACATTACTGATAATCGAGAGTGGAATTGGGCGGGTTGGATTTGTCCTGCTTTTTGTGTACAGGACATACTTGGGCAATTTTCCACATTGTTCAGGAGATACCGGTGTTGTAGCTGTACAGGAACAGCTTGGCTAGGGGAGCGGCAGGTTCTGGAGCACAAGTCTTCAGTACTATTGCCGGAATACTGTCAGGAGCTGCAGCCTTTGCAGTATCCAGAGTCTCCAACCATTTCTTGATATCACATGGAGTGAATCGAATTGGCTGAAGACTGGTATCTGTAATGCTGGGAACCAGTGGAGGAGGCCGAGATGGATCGTCCACTCAGCATGTCTGACTGAAGATTGCTGCAAAACATTCTGATGTGCTGGGCTCGTCCATCGTTGAGGGTGGGGATATTTGTGGATGTCCACCATCATTCACGACTGGATGTAGTAGGATTGCAGAGCATAGGTCTGATCAGTTGATTGCAGGATTGCTTGGCTCTGTCTATCGCTTGCTGTTTGGTGTGCAAGTAGTCCTGTTTGGTGGCTTCACCAGGTTGACACCCCATCTTCAGGTATGCCAGGTGCTGCTCTTGGCATGCCCTCTTGCACTCTCCATTGAATCAGAGTTGATCCCTGGCTTGATGGCATTGGTTGAGTAGGGCATATGCCAGGCCATGAGGTTACAGATTGTGTGCAGGAGTACGATTCTTCTGCTGTTGATGGCCCACAGCACCTCATGGATGTCCCATCTTGAGTTGCTAGGGATGGGAGGGGAAAAGAGTAGAGAATGCTAAAGGCAATGGTCAGTTTGATCCAGTTTCAACAGATGTGCATATTTTCCAGGATGGATCTATAGATAGTAATTGAATGGGAACCTGATGAAATCCCGACCCAAAACGTCGACTTTATTGCTCCCCTGATGCTGCCTGACCTGCTGAGTTCCTCCAGCTCCACACCAACCCTGGGTGGTTTTCCCCTTCCGCAACTTCGATTCTGAAGTCAACTATAAATACCTTGATTAATCACAGACTAGAACTGGATGGAGTATGGCTCAATTGGAATTTGGATGTTCTTCAAAAGAATTTTGATGTAATGTTAAATCTTAAACATGCATTTTGTAAAAACAAGTCTTCGAATTCATAAAATATAGTGACACAGCTTTCTCCTATAATAATGTATTTTGTTCACTATTTCTTTTATCCCTTAGAAGTTAATCTTCTCACAAAGCTTAAATTACAGATGATACAGTTATGTATGACTGTACAGGCATTAAATTTGTTCTGTATGTTGTACAGAATTATGACCCTAACCCTTTCGCAGTATTGCTTAATATCAGAACAATTTTTTAATATGAGCTGCTGCTCTAACACAACATTGTTGTTAAGAAATAATCTTACTAAATGCAGTAATCTTTAGGTTAATCCACAAATCATACTCAATGTTTGACCAAATCTGGTGACATCACAACAGGAGTCACAAGGAGGTAGAATGGACCTGTTAATTTACAAAATGCTATTTCAGTTTGAAAAAATTCAATTTACTTCATTTTCTACATTTTTAAGGACACATAGTATGTAAAATCTATTCAACATAGAAATGGGAAGGCCTGCATTTATAGAGTGCATTTCATGGTCTTATGTCATCCTAAAGTAAATTTACATCCACTGAACACTTTTGAACTGTAATCACCGCTGTGCTGCAAAGCCAATTAGCAGGGTCCCATAAACAGTGATGTGATCCTGCCTTAATTTTGGATCTGAAAGATGACATCTTTGCTAATTAAATATTAAAGTCCTCTCTATTTTCAAATAATTTTGCTAGAAACTGGGGATATTCCATTCATATTTATGAATTGATGGAATTTGTGCAACTTGGTAAATTAGCTACATTGTATATTGTCAAACTACAGCCAAAACATAAGCCACAGCACCACAACTCTGGGCAAATGGCTTGGTTGTTGACGGGAGATTGAGGACATCAAGCAAATACTTTAGTTGTGATACTAAAAGATAATTGATTAATTTTATCCTGTCACTGTAAAGTATGCATTTCTAAATTTTGTTCAAATCACTAGTAATTAAAAAAAACTTTCAGATTGTAGCTTGACTGATTGATTGTAAGGGAAAAAAAATATGGATGGGGATGTTTAAACAAGTTGTTTTTCTTTCAAGAAGTGTATGCTTTTGTGAAAATTAGGGGCATTTAACAGTATTGGAAAGTCCATACTGGCTAAAATTGTGGCATTTTTCATTTAGTTGAAACACCTCCATTAGTTCCCTTTGCATTGCAGTTTTATTCAAAGTACCTCATTGTGAGGATTTATGTGAAAGAAAACACAACTACTGTGTTGTGGCATTTGACAAAGCAATTGAATGTATTTCTTTATATTCAGGATTGCCTGTGACATTCGCAAATGTCACAAAAAAAGCTTTTGCCAGATAAATTGCTGAGAACTGCTACTGTTTAGCTGCCTGAGAACCTATTGGAAATTTGAAGCTTTTGAGAGCACTGTATTCACTGTATTCCATCCTCAGATACTCAGACTCTCTAATTAAATCTATTAGCATTATCTGATAACCTTAAATGCCTTTGTTTGAGAATAATTTTCAAACGTCATTACGTGTCCACTATGCACAATTTGTTTTATGGTTAATCCAGATAATCAAATTTCAAAATTGGGTTTAATCCAATAAAAACCTGGAAATGTTAACTGTAGTACATGTCTGATTTATCTATCTGTTGATGCAAGTAACTCTTAATTTTCCATGTTCCCTAGAATATACATTCATGTGACTATGTCACGTACAGATAGCTTGATGGTGGAAAAGCTACTAAAATGCAAGTAATGATTCATTACATAAGAAGGTGTAGAGCTGGATGAACACAGCAGGCCAAGCAGCATTAGAGGAGCAGGAAAGCTGACGTTTCGGGCCTAGACCCTTCTTCAGAAATGGGGGAGGGGAAGGGGGTTCTGAAATAAATAGGGAGAGAGGGGGAGGCGGATAGAAGATGGATAAAGGAGAAGATAGGTAGAAAGGAGACAGACAGGTCAAAGAGGTGGAGCCAGTAAAGGTGAGTGTAGGTGGAGAGTTAGGGAGGGGATAGGTCAGTCCAGGGAGGACAGACAGGTCAAGGGGGCGGGATGAGGCTAGTAGGTAGGAGGTGAGGGTGGGGCTTGAGGTGGGATGAGGGGATAGGTGGAGGAAGGACAGGTTAGGGAGGTGGGGACAAGCTGGGCTAGTTTTGGGATGCGGTAGGGGGAGGGGAGATTTTGAAGCTTGTGAAGTCCACATTGATACCATTGGGCTGCAGGGTTCCCAAGCGAAATATGAGGTGCTGTTCCCGCAACCTTCAGGTGGCATCGTTGTGGCACTGCAGGAGGCCCAGGATGGACATGTCGTCTAAGGAATGGGAGGGGGGGTTGAAATGGTTCGTGACTGGGAGGTGCAGTTGTTTAGTG